TCTGTCTGTAATCCCAGTGCCCTAGAGGCAAGAGGATCAAGAGTTTCAGGCCACCTGGGCTGCATAGCAAATTTCAGGCTAACTTGGTTGTAGCTGGAGTTTTCTCTCTCTGGGTCCCGCCAATCCCCGGGAGTCCCTTAGCCCACTTATAAAATAAACACACCGACTCTTATATTATTTAAACTGCTTGGCCATTAGCTCAGGCCTATCCTTGTCTAGCTCTTACTCTTATATTCAGCCCATTTCTATTAATCTATACTTTGTCACGTGGCTCATGGCTTACTGGTACCTTACATCTTCCTTCAGGCAGTCTCTCCCTTCCCTTCCTGTTCCCTCAATTCTCCTCTCTGTTAGTCCTGCCTATACTTCCTGCCTGGCTACTGGCCAATCAGTGTTTTATTTATTAACACATTTGTCATACAGAACATCCCACAGCACTTGGTTGCATATGTAAAAAAAAAAAAAAATCCCACCCAAACACAGGTCCTTAGAACAGCAGGGTGCAGATGGCTCCTTGCGTGTAGACTCCATCTGTAAGTGCTGTACCAATACAGCTCAATTCTCTGCTTCTCTCTTTCTCTGAGGCTGAAGGGGCGGCTGCACAGCCAAGTAGAGTTGAAATTCTGCGGGGAAGTCAAGCTTTCTGAAGGCAATTTTCAAGTTGCCCTGTGCTTTGCTATGACAATTTTAAGACACATTGTACTGATCTCCCCTGAGTTTCCCAGTAGTATTGACCCCAGAGGACCTACTGCTGGTGTTCTCTTTTCTCTGTCTCATCTCCCCTACCCCATTACTCTGCTGTCTGAGAGCACATTCTGTATGAACTACCTGTACCCTTACTTTTCAGCTACTGTGACTGAAGTGCTATAAATGTTCACGTACAATTTTGTTAAACTTTTTGCACCAAAAACCCTACAACCTTCTTATTCCATATACTTTGTAGACCTTGTGTTGTTTTCTTCTGTTAGCATTAAAAAAAAAAAGTAATTCATGGGCTGGAGAGATGGCTCAGAGGTTAAGAGTGCTGGCTGTTCTTCCAGAGGTCATGAGTTCAATTCCCAGCAACCACACCATGGCTCACAACCATCTGTAATGAGATCTGGTGCCCTCTTCTGGCCTGCAGGCATACATGCAGACAGAACACCATATACATAATAAATAAATAAATAAATTTAAAAACAAAACAAAAATCATTCATCTTTGTAGCGTGCCTCAGTATTCTTTTTTATTGCTTAATGGTGTTTTTTTGTGATGTCCATGTCACATCACTTGACATTAGGTGTTCTGTGTATTGTCAGAGCTGACAGACATGAGCAGGCACTGTGGCAAGGACTGCTGCTCTGCATTTTTCATTTATAAGTTTTGGTTACTTTGTGAAAACTAATTGCTAAAGGAAACAATAGGAACAAAATTAAATTCTCCATCTCTTGGATTGTATTGTCATGGAGACAGACAATAACTACATATAAACAAGGCAATAGATACATTTCTAAAATCACGATTTGGTATTTTAGGGTTAAAAAATCTTTTCTTTCTACTTTTACAATTACACAAGCTAACTGTATAAAATTCATAAAATGTGTAAAGGCCTAAGAAAGAAAGCAAAAATGGTATTGCCGTGGAAGCCATTACAAAAGTTCTCTTGGTTTTATTATTATTTTTAGATAGGGTCTCATTCGAATTTGCTATGTGGTAGAAGATGAACTTGAACTTTTGATCACACTTCCACCTCCTGAGAGTTCTGGGGTTGCAGATGTGTGCCACTAGGCTAGTTCACGCAGTGCTGGGGAAGGTGCTGAGGACCTCTAAAGTGGCAATCCACGGAAGTCTTGGATCAGGACTTATTTATTAAAGGATGAATGGATATAACACAGGGATACAGGATGAAGTGGTGCTGCTACCTCTTCATCCACGGGGGTGGGGGTGGGGGTGGGGATGGGGATGGGGAAAGGTCCAGACTAGGTCACCAAGCAGTGGGGGGGGGGGGGTGTCAGGAAGCCTTCCACCAACCAAGAGAGTGCGCAAGCCGCCTCCTCAGTTCTTATCTGGCCGCGTACCCAGAGAAGGCCATGCCCATAGGGCTAGTCGCCCCAATACCATTGGCTAAATGGGTAGAATTCCCACAATGCTTCCCCTTTTTTGTCTAATTAAGAAGGTTCTAATCTTAATATAAAACTATATATAATAAGAATAATTATCAAGTATTGTCCAGAAGAAAGAAAAGGTAATAAACAAAAATGGAACTATAACTGACAAGAACAACATCAAGCAAGAAATACATTCTAGATGTCCAGACCATAAGTAGTTGGCAAATTACAGAGATTACTCCAGTAGTTGTCCTATCCTGACGAGTCTAAGTCTTGTACCTAATGTGCATTTAGCTAAGATTCAAGAGGACTGTAACTGTAATTATCCAGTCTTCAACTCCATCAAAGACCTGAGAAGGAAAGTTATATTACCCGAGTGAGCAGAAAGTGCAAGCAAGAGACTTCTGAAAATGCAAGGAATGACAGAAACAGCTGGCTGCCTGCACAGTCAATGTTTTCCTGCAACGTTGGGGCATCCAACTTTGGCTATAGGCCTAGAATATCTGACAGACCATTTTCAGAAGCAAGAAAATCTGAAGGACTGTCCTATCCCATCTTGGCAAGGTTCAGCAGTAGCTTTTCCTTATGTCCTGCTTGTCTGGAATGGACAGCGTGCTTACTGTCAGCAGCCAAGGCAAGGGCAGTTTTTTGCCCAATAGGCCAGTTTTGCCAAGAAGAAAACAAACTCCATATGGAGTGTCTTCAGTGCCAACATCCTCTTGGGAGTAGATTGGTGCTACCAGAATTCTAAGTTATTAAAACATTTAAATGCCATATTCTCTAGGCTATGAAGTGTTTGGAGATTACCTATCTTTGTGGAAGATATCTCTGTACACCTAGAAAACCTAACTAACATAACTATAAGTATGACAAACATGGATGACTATTAACCTGTAGTTCTTAATAACCTATATAGCTTAAAGACTAAAGCTTCACATCATGAAAATAAACAATCTGTAAACAGATGTACAGTATAGGGACAATGACCTCAAAATTGTGACAATATATAAAAATATCTTAACCAGAGATAGAAATGTATAGTGCAATATGCCAAAAATAACCTTAATTTGCATCAATATACAAAATATTCTAAACAGAAGTAGAAACATATCTACAGTATGACAAAAATATTTTTACATTTGTATCAATATACAAAAAATATTTTAAACAGATGTAGAAACATATATACAATACAACAAAAATAATTTTGAATTTGTACAGCAGACTTCCTAAATCACCAGCCCTCATCCCGAGGAATTGAAGGCTTAGAACTCAGTTCACGAAATACCTAAAACTTCACATTAATCCCCAAGGGAAACTTTTAAATAGAACCGTTTCCTTTTTTAAAACATATTTTTTCTTTCTTTTTCTCAAACTTTGGGTCGAATTTGGCCAGTGTTTCAGATGAAGGATTCCCAGTGGAGCACAAGACGAGACTGGCAGTTCAGTCTAGAAATTAGAAGGGTGAGAACTGCCTTAGGCAGCAGGAACAGACCAGGACCAAACTAGGCAGTCCCAAAGTTTCTTTTCCAGCAGGAATTTTAAGAGTGGCCCAGAACTATACGTCCTACATTGATAAGATGGTGAACATTAGTTGGATGTGGTGGCGCACTCCTTTAATCCCAGCACTGGGGAGGCAGAGGCAGGTGGATCTCTGAGTTCAAGGCTAGTCTGCTCTACAGAGTAAGTTCCAGGAAAACCTAGGACTGAAAGATCCTATACATTTAAGGATACCTACCACATTTCAAGAAATTGCTTTGTGGCATTGTACAAGCCTTTCTAGACTTGGAGATGTTATGGCTCACGGGATATTACATTATTATTATTATTATTATTATTATTATTATTATTATTATTATTATTATTATTATTTTCGAGACAGGGTTTCTGTGTAATAGCCCCAGATGTCCTGAAACGCACTCTGTAGACCAGGCTGGCCTGGAACTCAGAGATCCGCCTGCCTCTGCCTCCCGAGCGCTGGGATTAAAGGCATTTTTGTGCCACCACGCCTGGCACATCATTAAATTTTAAGCCTGGCCGGGCGGTGGTGGCGCACGCCTTTAATCCCAGCACTCGGGAGGCAGAGCCAGGCGGATCTCTGTGAGTTCGAGGCCAGCCTGGGCTGGGCTACCAGGTGAGTTCCAGGAAAGGCACAAAGCTACACAGAGAAACCCTGTCTCGAAAAACCAAAAAAAAAAAAAAATTAAGCCTGATGTGGTGGTGCGGGCACATCTATTATCTCAGCACTTACAAGGGGAAGGATAAAGATAACGAGTTCAAGGCCATCCTCCACTACAAGGTGAATTCAAGGCCAGCCCTAGAGCTGGCCCCGAAAAACAAGACAAAAACAATCTCCCTGATCAAACACAAAACCTTCCAATTTTCTAGCATCCTCCAGTCCTCTCGGAGCCGCCCGGAGGCTCAGAACCAGCAGGAGGCGCTCTAAGGTAACGAAGAGAATAATGGAGCCGCGGAGATTCCGAGCACCGAATTCCAGCGGCATCAATGAGACCTACATTCAAGTCAGGCGCTAGCCCGATAGGCCACCCTTATTAAGCCGCCGGGCGCCCGCGTGACCCCTGGCGCGCTCGGCGATTGGCTCCGCTCGGCTCACTCTAGCCTTTGGCGCCGAGCAGGCCCCGCCCCCCGTGAGCGCGACCATAGTCCGCGCGTACGGAGGTGGTGCAGGCCAGCCTTCCCGGCAAGGCTCCTCCGAGCCGGGCCCCCAACTAGTTCTCAGCCAGCCGTACGACCGACGCCACGTTATCACATGAAGCCCGCCAGGGAGGGCCGCGGGAGAGGGGTCTTCCCGACGCGGCAGAGCGGGGCTGGCCCCGACTCCCCCTGCGATCTGTGGCGATTCCGGAGTGGTTCCGCCCGACCGCGGGCTCCGCCTCCGCGGCAGCCGCCATTTTGTTTGGCCTCAGGAGAGCGAGCGGGAGCGAGCGGAGCCCAGTGGGAGGGGGCTCGCCTGCGGCTCTCCGGTCTCCGCGGCCGCGCTGTGGCTGTTCTGAGGTGAAGCCTTCTCCCTGCCGGGGGTCGCGGAGCCATGTACATCAAGCAGGTAGGGGCTGGCGTCCTTCGTCCTCTCGGGCCGCGAGAGGCGGGGTGTCGCGGCGCGACCCGCGGGTGGGTCCGCGCCGGCCGGGCAGGGGGGAGGGTGGGGGGAGCGGGTCCCGGGCGGGCCGAGGGTGCCGCCGCAGCCGGAGCCTCCCCTCAGGGCCGGGGCTGCGGAGCGCCGGGAGCGGCGGCCGGCGTGCAGAGGCCCGGCCTTCTCGGGCGCCGCGGGCTGCGAGCTGGTGAGGGGCCGTGGCGGGCCGCGTCCTTCTGCAGGGACGGCGGGGCTCAGGCCGCCGCGTGGGAAGGCGGCCTCGGGGCCCGGGGGCGCCGAAGGCTGTCACCACCTCGCCTTTGCCGGCCTTCCCCGAGAAGGGCGGGCCCTCGTTGCAGAACACGTCGCGCCCGATCACTCAGTTGTTTACTTCTGTCAAAATGGTCTTCCCGCGCAGGAGTGCGCCGCAGGGATGAGCCCTGCGCACACGTCAGGCCATGTTCTTCTGCTGGACGTGTCAGACTCTGAGCACCCCCTCCCCCCCCCCCTTTTTTTTTTTTCCAACATTGACCCCTCGGGCTGGTCTGACTGAAAGACGCCCCCTCTGAGCTTGGAGTCAGGCAGGCTGGGACCCCCTCGCCCGCTTGCTACACCTTTAGATAGCGCTGCAGAGTTCGGTGTTGCAGGTTACTCTGTACACCTCTTAATTTTGAGGGCTTCTCCTCCCCCGTCAACACTGCACCAGCCGTGGTTGCAGATAATCGGAAGGGCTTTAGCAGATCACTAACGTGCATGCTCCAAAGCGAAATGGAATGTTTCTGTCTTGCGTTAAATAAGAAGCGAGAAATGGAAAGAATGTTGCCATGGAAGTTCTTCTGTGCGTGCTCTGAAGGCTGTCTCTTTTTACTAGGTGATTATCCAGGGTTTCCGAAGTTACCGAGATCAAACAATTGTAGATCCCTTCAGTTCAAAACATAATGTTATTGGTAAGTGTTCTTGGTTTTAATGTCAGATTTAGAATTGATAGACAAGTGTACTCTGTCTCCAGGCCTAAGACGGAAATGTTTAGGTCACTCAGTCAGAGGTAAATCATTTTGGGGGCTGGTGGTGTAGACTCAGTAGTAGAAGTTCTTGCCCAGCATGTGTGGGGATGTTGATTGAGAGCCTTTTATGTGTGAGAGGGTGTTTTTAAAGCTTTGAGTTGTGATGACTGGGAGTTAGACGTTTGACCTGCTTTGTTCTGTTCAAGTGCTCACTATTGCTTTCTTGGAAAGGTGGCTTGGGCTCAGGTTGTCCTCAGTCATTCCCTTGCCAATTTCTTTGTGAATATGAGTTTTCATGGTAGACCCAAGTAGACATCATTCCTGTCTTATAAGGCTTTGGAAAGATTAAGAGAAGGTATGTGGTTGTTGTCATTAACAGTGCTTAGCTATTAAGATTTTTGTTTCTTTAAAGTCTCTATTTTGCTGTTAGAGCTGTTAACACATTCTGCTGAATTTTTAAAGGATGGATGAAATGAGTGCTTTTAGACATCAGAAACAGATTGTAGTATTGACAGTTTGGCTATTACAGGATCCTCATTGCAGTTTGCTAGTTTGGTGACTTAGACAGTTCTGGAGGATAGAAGTCTGTGTGTGTGGAACGAGCATGATTGAGTTCTGATGAGGCCTCATTTCTGCCCAGTTGACAGCTAACATATACCTCAGGACCTCATCCAGCCTTAGTCACCTCCTAATTCAGTCCATGGGATAGGTGAGGTTTGCATGCAGAATCAGTTGAAGGGAAATGAATGCCAGTGTTCATAGAAGGTCTTTAGAGAGTCGGACATTGTGTAAAATAATAAAGGAAAGCCAGGTGTGGCCCAGATGTGGTTCCAGCTACTTAGGAGGCTGAAGTGAGAGGATTGCTTGAGTTCAGGGATTCAAGACCAACCCAGTTAGTATAGCAGGACCTTGATACTGAATAAGTAAAAACAAAAATTGGAGAGTAGGCTTTTTCTGCCCTCGGTACATGAGCTGCAACCCTTTGTGGGAATAGAGGAAACTGTTTTGTGTTCTAGCTACAGAAGAGTATTAATTGAATCAATATGCTGTGGAAGTAGCAAGATTGTACTAACATTTTGTTGCATTTTGATTACAGGAGCTTTCAGATGTTTACCAGTCTGAAAATATTTAGAAATGGGGAAAAAGAAACATTACTAGATTTTACATTATTTCTTTTACTTCTAAGGTGAAAAACACCTTAATGTTTCAGTTATATGGTTTTGTAGGTGATCTGTGAGATAGTGGTCCTTATCTAGAATTATGTGTCTTACGGTCTGTTAAATATCTTTGTTTTAGTTGCTATCAGCTTTGCTCAAAACATTACAGTTTCTTTTGAGAGAAAAATAAGAATTCTTTAATGTTTTAACTGAGATGTACTTAAAGTGGTTTTATTGGTACTTTTTTTTTAAATTAAAAAGATACTTAAAAAAAGATACTTTAATGTGAGAAAAATGAAAAGTTGTTATTATGTGAATAAAGTAGAAAATAATTATGTAGTAAAATTGACTTTTAAAATAGTTAGGATCTAGAGAGATGACTCAGCAGTTAAGATCACTTGTGAAGGACCCATTTGGTTCCCAGCATCCAAGTGATGGTTTACAACCATCCATAACTCCAGTTTGAGGCACCAGGCACACACACACATGATGTACATTCATACATGCAGGTAAAATAAATGATGAAATAAGTAAATCTTTAAAAAAATAAAAGCTAATACTAGCATCCCACTTTTGTTTAATGATTTTGATCAAAAAAAAAAAGATTTGAAAGCAAATATCTCTTGTGCTGATGTTTGAATCTGTGATAGTCCAAATACCGTTTACCTTGCATCTCCTTGTCCCCAGTCTTCAGATATAACCAAGTACCCAGTGAAGGTTAATTAGAAGGAAAAAAGTTGCCCTTCTTAACCCGTGCAAACACTTTTTTCTTGTCATTGTTCCCTAAAGCAGTATAGTATGACGGTTATATAGCATTTCCTGGCAGATTACAACAAAAGGATCAGAGTTTTAATCTCTTATTTAACCATAGCATTGGATATATAAATAATCCAGAGAGGACCTGTGTGTTTGTATGTATATGTTATCACATTTTGTTGAAGGGATTTGAGTATACTCAGATTTTGGTATCTGTGGCTGGAGAGGAGAGCTCTCTTAGAATCAATCCCCTATGGATATTATGGATGATTTGTATATACTTTTTAGGGTCCCTTCTGCCAGCCTTTTAATAAGAAGTATCTGTCACTAAATTTTTCTTTCTTTCTTTCTTTCTTTCTTTCTTTCTTTCTTTCTTTCTTTCTTTCTTTCTTTCTTTCTTTCTTTCATTTTGAGGCAGAGCTGAACTGTATAGCACAAGCTTGGCCTTAAATTTTTGATCCTCTTGCCTCAGCCTCCCATGTGCTGGGATTACAGGAATATACCATGTTCTGCTCCATAATCGTTAATAAGAAAAACTGGGGGCTGGCGTGATGGCTCAGTTGTTAGGAGTATTTGCTGCTATTCCAGAGAACCTGAATTGGGTTGCCAACACCCACATCAGGAGGCTGACAACCACCTGTAATCCAGCTTCAGGGGATCTTTTGGCTTCCTTGTGCATGCATGCACGCACGCACGCATACACATACCTAGTACATAGATACACATAAATAAATGTTAAATGAGAAAAACTTGTCTTAACCATGATTTTTCTAGAAGACAGAAAAGGCAAGCTTTAATGGAAGGTGCAATCTAAGGGCAACAGTGATGTGGAGAAGCTGATACCAACCTTTTCTTTGATTTATTTTGTCTTTTCTGTTGCTGTGATAATACTATGACCAAGGCAACTTCTAGAAAGAGTTTATTTGGGATGTACAGTTTCAGAGGGCTAGAGTCCATGACCATGGTGGTGAGAAGCATGGCTACAGCAGGCATGGGACAGGGACAGTAGCTGAGTCCTCACACCTTGATATACAAGCACAAGGCAGAGCTAAGTGGGAATGGCACTCTGTGGGCTTTTGAAACCTCAAAGCCTGTCCCCCTGTAACATACTTCCTCCAACAAGGCCTCACTTCCTAATCCTTCCCAAACAGTTCCACCAACTGGAGACCATTCTCATTCGAACTACCACAATGTGTATGATTGCTTTGCCTGCATTTGTGTCAGTCTACTATGTTCATGCTTTATGCCTACAAAGTCAGAAATCTGAAATTGGAGTTAAGACATGGTTGTGAACCACCATGTGGATGCTAAGAAGTGAACCCAGGTCCTCTAATAACAACAAGGGCTCTTAACAACTGAGCCATCTCTCCAGCCCATGGTCTCAATTTTTTAAAGAAGACACATTTGGTTTGTTGTCATGTTGAATAATTTCCAAACAGATTTTCTGGACCTGCTATGCCTTGGAAAGGTCAGAAGAGAGAAAGCTGGAGAGGGATTTGTCTACCAATGGCTGTCATTCATAGGTCATAGTTTACTGCATAAGGCATTTATTCCTTCAGGCTTTTGGAATGTTTTGCTCTGCATACAAAACTCTGAAGGAGTTGTGGAATTACAGCTTCCTTTAGTTATCCACAGGCCTGGCTTGAATGTATCTCTGGAATAGGCTGAAACAACCTATTGGTTGTTTCCCAGTTGGGAGCCTATAGAAACTGTCAACTTCAGGATTCCATAAGTGTGTAGACTTATTTAAGCTTTATTAAATGGAAACGGGTTCTTCTTTCAACATGTTGACAATCTGCTATTTTTTCACCCAGAATAAAAGTTTGTTTTTGTTACTTGAGGCAGGTTTTTTTTGTTTTTGTTTTACTTTGTATTCCTGGCTGGCCTGGAAGTCCCCTCTCTAGATCAGGTTGGCCTCAAACTTGGCTGTAATACTGCTTCTGCCTTTTAAGTGTTAGGATTATAGATGTGTGTCACCATACCCAGCTAGAATAATTTTATTTTTCATATACTCATGTGTAGCCCAGTCTGACATCAAACTCAAGGTCCTGCTGCCTCAGTGCTGGAGATTGAGCTGATCTGAAACTTGCTGCAATCCTCCTTTCTCTGCCTTCTGAGCACTAGAACTACAGGAATGTGCCACTGTGCCTAGCTCAGCATAGCTCTTGAATGTCTTTCCTTTATTAAATGTCTAGCATCCTTTAAGATTTTAGTGTTTTATTCTATGGATAGGAATAATTTTTATAGAGATACTTAATTTTTTTCCAGTTATTAATGAATTGTGACTTATTTTTAAGGTGTGTGTGTGTATTTTTTTTTTGTGTGTGTGTATGTGTATGTATGTATGTGTGTGTGCACGCATGCAGAAGGCATTAGAATTCCCTGTAGCTGGAGTTAGAGGTGGTTGTGAGCCACCTGATGTGGGTGCTAGGAAACGAACTTGGATCCTCTACAGGAGCACTGTGCTCTTAACCATCTCTCTAGCTTCAATTGTCATTTTAAGTACTTACACTTACTTGTTGATCTTTTCAGCTTTTATTTAGGAATAATTTTGACGTCACAGAAAAATTTCCCAATGGGAATGAATGCCTAGTTTCAATCATTGTACTTTTTTCTCCTTATACTTTTTAAACCCCGCACCAGGTATGTGCATTTTTTGCCTCTCACTTCAATGGGTACTTTGCAAGATAGGGATATTCTTGTAGTCATTATCTTAAATAAGCTTAATGATATCATTCTCCACAGGTTTTAGTTTTTTTTAATAGACCTAGAAGTGTTCTTTACAGGAACCTCCCCTCCCCCCAATACAAGATCCAGTTTATTATTAACTATTAGGTTTAATTGTCATGTTTCTTTAAGAGCCTTTAATCTGGAACACTTCAACAACCTTCATTTTTTTTCAAAATTTATTTGACAATTTCATACTTGTATATAATGAGTTTTCACAAAAGCCCCATTTCCCTTACCCTTGCTCCCACCACAAACTGAAGCCCTGCTTCCTGACAAGCCCTCTCCTACCTATTTTTCTTTTCTGATCCACTGAATTTAATTATGGTTGCTTACAGAAGTGTGAGTCTGGGGCTATTTAGTTATTTATTGGAGCCTGGCAACTTATCAGTGGCTGTACCACTGAAGAAAATGACACTTTCTCTTCAGTACACATTAATGACCTCAGTGAGTGATGGGGACTCATGAGCCTGTTAGCCAACTGTGATGAGGTGATGCTGGGTCTAATCTTGTGCGGGTGATCATAACTGCAGTGAATTGATGACTCGTGGCCATGTCATGTCTATAAGACATGCTTCCACAGCACTCCTTCCCATCCTCTCTGGCTTTTGCATTGTTTCTGCTTCCTCTTCTGTGATGTTCTCCGAGCCTTGAGGGATGATAGAGATGATCCATTTAGGGACAAGCGCTTCATAGTCTCTGCTCTTTAGCTAATTGTGAGTCACTGCATTAACCACTGCCCTTTACAGACGAAGCTTCTCTGAAGAAGTCTGAGAGCAGCACTAATCTATGGGCGCAAACAATGTTTAGTAGGCGGTTTTATACCATGCCCATTTAGGGGCTGAAGAAATGGCCCAGCAATTAAAGGCACTGACTGCTCCTTCAAATGACCCTGGTCCTAGCAACCACATGGCAGTTAACAACTGTCCATAACTCGAGTTCCAGAGAATCTGATGCCCTTTTCTGAACCCCACAGACACCAGGTATGCATGTAGTACCCAGATATACTTGCAGTCAAAATACCCATACACATAAAAACAAAACCAAAAAACTGTCATGTCCATTTAGCAGAACTATAGTAGCTTCTTCCCTGGGGCCTGAGACTACCTCAACCACAGGCTTTTGTCTTAAGTTTACAGTCCCAGACCTAAAGTTTCCACCTGTGGAGGGAGCCTCGAATCCAGCCAGAGAGCTGTTGGTTACCCTACAGTAGTCATGCCACTCTTACACCACTGGGCATATCTTACCAGACAGGTCATTATTGTAGTTTATGAGGCCCACAGCTGGGTTAGGACCGTTGATGACTTTTCTCCCCCAACATCTGCTGTAGTACTTGGCAGCACTATGAAACTTATCCAGTCGAAGGGAAACTTCCAGCTCAGATGCAACTTGATTTCTCATTGTCTTGCAACCTGAGTATGTGGTGTCTTCAGCAGTAGCATCTTACAATATGTTTGTAGTGGGCAACCAGTATATTGGCAGTAGCCTGTAATGTTAGGGAGACTTGGGACTTCCCTGAACAACAGCTTGTATTCTATATTTGGTACTAGAGTTTTCTTTTAATAACATTTGGCTACTGGGAGGTAGGAGCATTATCCACCCATGGAAGGTGTTTTCTATTTAATTTTACTTATTTACTTATAATTTATTTGGTTTTGAGATAGTGCCTTGCTGTGTTGCCCAGACTACTATTAACTGGAAATCCCCATCCTTTAGCCTTCCGAGTGTTTAGATTACAGGTGTGTACCACTGTGCTTGGTATTTTTTGTCTTTTATAATGTTATTTCTGAAAAGTACTATAGTGTCCTGTGTTCTCACAGTATCATTTTTGGAGACAGGAAGTCAGTTTACCACTTATTGGTGCTGTTGATACACTGTTAACTAGTCAGGGTCATAGCCAATGTTTTCACTACCTTGGTTTTTTTTTTTTTTTTCTTCTTTTTTCCCCCCTCTTGTAAATATGGGGAGATACTTTTGGACCATGAAACTACTCTATTTTTAAATTTATTTTATTTTATTCTATGTATATGGGTGTTTTGCCTGCATGTCTGTAACACGTGCATGCATGGTGACTGGAGATTAGAAGAAAGTATCAGATTCCATGGAACTGGAGTTACAGACAGATGTGGGTGTTTGGAACTGAATTCAGGACCTCTGGAAGAGGAGCCAGTGCTTTTAAAAATTGCCTTTATGCTTAGCATTTATAGATGAGTTTTGCCTTTAGTCTGATAGTTACAAAATGATTTTTCTATTTCTAGTATTCTTTGCTTTTTTATCACATGACAGTAGGTGCTTTCCTCTAAGCAAGAGCTCTCCTTATTTTTCTTACTATTACTGGTATAAACTAATGGATTATTCCTTCTACTAATCATCAAGGTGGCAGTTTGGTACTCATATTTCCTAGGATTTGGCCCGTGAAAGCCAAATGTGTGGAATTTCTGACATTCAAATTCAGGTAGTGAAAAAGTGCCTTACAGAGCTGGAGAGGTAACTCAATAGTTAAGAGCACATTCTGCTTTTGTAGAGAACCAGTCTTCAGTTCCTAGCACTCTTTGCTCAAACTTGTTGTCGAGAGTACACATACACAAGATTTCTGCTGGGTGTGGTGGCACACTCTCAGGGGAGGCAGAGACAGGTGGATCTCTGTGAGTTATGAGGACAGCCTGGTCTACAAAGCAAGGCCCAGGACAGCCAGGGCTACACAGAGAAACCCTGTCTGGAAGAAAAAAAAAAGTGAAATATCTTTTAAAAACATGCCTTATAGCGGGCATGGTGATGCACAACTTTATTCCCTGAACTGAGAGACAGAGGCAGGAGGATCTCTTTGAGTTTGAGACCAGCCAAACAAAACAAAACACACACAAAAGAAGTGCCTTATAATTGTCTCCACTTTTTTGATTTCATTAGGCTGCATCAGTGTGTAGGGTTGATCATAAGTAGATAGCATGAGACGGTTAACAATATGTGAATCCAAATTGCTAAAAATATCGTGTATAATTTACATACAATTTTTCATGCATTTTTATGTTACCAATGTCAGGTAGCATTACTCCCATTTAAACTGTTAGGGGAGAGAGCAAAAGAATCAACTCTGAGGGGTGGCTTAGTGGGTAAAGTGCTGGCTCTGCAAGCATGAGACTGGAGTTCAGACTTCAGTACACATAGAAGTGGGCCTGTCAGTGTGGGTCTGTGACCTTAACACTGGGGCTAGAGTTCAGTGTGTGAGGCTGGTAGCCAGTCAGGCTAGCTGAAATGGTGAGTTCCAGGTTCAGTGAGAGGCCACCTCAGAAATTAGGATGAGCAAGTGAGGAAGACACCTGTGTTGACTTTTGTCTTCCATGTGTGTGCATGGGTGTACACAAACACAACACACACTGAAAACTAACAAAAAGAAAAACTTTACAGTCAGGTGTGGTAGTGCATGCCTATAATCTCAGCACTTGGAAAGCTGAGGCAGCAGGATTACAAAATTAAAAGCTAGCCTGTACTACATAGTGAGTACCAGACCAACCAGGGCTGTGTAGGAAGACCTGGTTTCAAAACAGAACAAGCAAAAACTACCTAAAAATTATATAAAGATTAAATTTAGTAGGTAATTACTGCTCTGTTTCTTTCTTTTCTTTCTTTTTGGTTTTTCGAGACAGGGTTTCTCCGTGTGGTTTTGGTGCCTGTCCTGGATCTTGCTCTGTAGATCAGACTGGCCTCAGACACACACAGATCCGCCTGCCTCTGCCTCCTGAGTGCTGGGATTAAAGGCACAGTGTGCCACTGCTTCCTGGCTCTGTTTCTTTTACCCACCACTTTTTAATGTCAATATTAAAATGTTAGGAAGTTGCATTTAAAATTTTAAAGTAGAGGGCGGGGCAGACCTGGGAGGACTGGAAGGTGAATATGCTTGGGGTTCATGATGTGAAATTCCCAAATTAAAAAAAAAAGTTATGGAAATTTTTTAAAATAGATTTAATAATTTTAAATTGACTTTTTTATATGAACTAATCTGTACTTTTTGAAATTTTATAGTGGGCAGAAATGGATCTGGAAAAAGCAACTTTTTTTATGGTAAGTGTAGATTTTTGGATTTTAATTATATGAAGACTCAAGTGTCTTTCCATTCATTCATATATATATATACATATATATATACATGTATATACATGTGTATGTGTGTGTGTGTATATATATATACACACACACACATACACATACTCATTAGTGTTTTGCCATGGGTGTTGGGTCCCTGGAACTGGAGTTACAGACAGTTGTGAGCTGCCATATGGGTGCTGGGAATCGAACTGGAGTCCTCTGGAAGAGCAGTCAGTGCTCTTAACTGCTGAGCCATCTCTCCAGCCCTCAAGTGTCTTTAATAGTTTATTAAAATGATTGATTTCTGAGATTATATCTGCACGAAACCTAAGAAGTCATACATAGTTGTGGTTTAGTGTAGCGGGTTAGCGTATGTGGGTCTGAATTGTCTGTCTTTGGTCTGGCTTTGTGAGAAAGCAGAAACTCTTGTTCAGTGTATATCTTGGATGGATTCTGAGAAGGATAGAGCAGTGTAGTAAAAATACTGATACCTGTTTGAAGCTGATAAAAATGTATTAAGAATACCATGCCTTTAACAAGTCCTTTGAGGAGGAAAAAAAATCAGTGGAGTTGGACTATATAAGGAGGGGTTAAAAATGTTAGCTTAGTTAATAGTGCTTGTGAAACAGGGTTTAGTAGGAGTAAAGGTTCTGTCCCTTTACACATGTCCCTTAAGGATACTGAAAGTCCTGTAATGGTTGTAATTTGGTGATGGTCAGAGAGCAGATTGAAGTAAAGCATGCATCTCAGATCCCAGGGAAAGGAGGACAGTGCGAATCCACCCATCCCAGGTGAGGGTGAGTTGCAGCCAGTCTGTCAAAGCGCATACCATCATACATGAGTGTTCCTCCCTCATGTTCTTACACTGATGGTATTTTAGAGATCTCTTGGGTAGATCTGGACCAGAATAGCTAAAATAACCGTATCTTGGACAGTGAGTGGTCCATCGGTTAGGTATTTTGTATGGAATGTAGGGCTAGTTCTCACAAAGGTGTGGTATAAGCAGTGCAGTAGGAGCTGGGAATTTCAAACAGTTCCCTGTATTTCTTAGTTCACAGAAATGGGTTCAGCTTTAGCAGTACATCATTGTACTGTTATTAGGCAAGAGGACTTTTTTTTAAGGTGATTAAAACCTTGTGTAGCCTGTTTATGTAGTTTGTTATTCTATAGTGCATGGCTTTATAGTGTTGACCTAATTAATTAGCATAGTATATACTTTTATTACGGAGTTGACCTACCTTCTGCTTCTCTCGTTTCTTTTTTTTTTTTTGATACTTGAATGTCTTTTTATATTTCAGTGAAAGCTTAGTTTTTTTGATAATATCATCCTCCCTACCAGATTAGTCTGATATACTGGAAAATTGTCTGCAGTCATTTTGTTTATATGTGAAACAGTTTATCTGCAATGTCTATTACCTGATACGTTACATTCTGTTAAGATACAGGGTTATGAATAAGCTGTAAATCCTCCTTTGGAATGTACTAATAGCCTTATTTTTGTGTTTTTAGCCATTCAGTTTGTTCTCAGTGATGAATTCAGTCATCTTCGCCCGGAGCAGCGATTGGCTTTGTTGCATGTGAGTGAGACTCTTTAAGACATTCATTGTTAAGTATTTTTAAGCATACATTGTCAATTCTTGCTTTGAAAAAAAATTGCTGGGCATGGCAGCTCACTTTGTAATTGCAGCTCTTGAAAGATACAGGATTGCCTTGAGTTTGAGGCCACCCAGGGCTTTCATAGTTCCAAGCCAGCTTGAGCTACAGTGTGAGATCGTGTTTTTAAAAAGGGAGTTGGGGGAGGAAGGACTGGAAAGATAGTTCAATAGTTACGAGCACTGGCTGCTCTTCCAGGGGTCTTGGCTCTATTTCTAACACCCACATGGTGGCTCACAAACGTCTGTATCTCCTTCTGGCCTCTGGGCACCAGGCATACACACTGTGTGTGATGCATATGCAGGCAAAACACCTGTACATGCAAAGTAAAGATAAATACATCTTTTTTAAAAAGTTCAAGTTACAAATCCTTTGTGAGCATGATGTAGTATTAATTCCTTAAGTGTGCTAGTCTCTTATAAAATTTATTGTACTACATCAGTGCCAGATAAAGGCCTAATAATTTCATAATAGTTAGAAGAAAGTTATATACATTCCTTCCATGTGAACTTTTTCAGATTATGTTTTTTAAAAATTATTGTGTGTGTGAATGTGGGTACATGTGCCAAGGTGTATGTATTATTAAGGTCAGAGGACTTTGGGGAGTTGGTTTCCCTTCTTGTGGGTTCCTAAGATAGAACTCAGGTCAGCAAGGTTGTATAGCAAGCACTCTTTTTTTTGGTGACCCATCTTGCCAGCCCTTCTTTGTTGCTTTTTGAGACTGTTTTCACTTGGTTGCTCAGGTTGGCTTCATACTTGTAATTCTCTTACCTTCGCCTCCCACGTGCTGGATTTAGAGGTGTGAACCGCCATTCCTGACTTTATAAGGTTTTTTTTAATTTTTATTTGTGTGTATGTGTGTACATACACATGTGCCTGCCTGCTTCTCTGTTACGTCTATCAAATGAGTGCAGGTTGCTTGAGAAACCAGAGAGGGCATTGGATTCGTTGAAACGGGAATTTCAGGTGATTATAAGCCACCCTGTGTGGGTGCTGGGAACTGAACCTAGGTCCTCTGCAAGAACAGTAGGTGTTCTTAACCACTGATCTATTTCTTCAGCCCATTTATGTTTCTGTAAGACTATTGGTTCTGTAGACAGGTTTGCTGAGGACAAAGAAGAATTGCAGATTGGGGAGCCTTAAGATACACAGCTGGAAGTTGAGGGCATAGAGAAATTACCATTGCAAACCTAATGAAGTTCGTATTTGGATTAGTACCTCTTCTTTTCAATGTGGAAAACAGTATATTTAGGGCTAATGATGTAGTTCAGTGGTAGAATGCTTGCCTAGCATGTTTGAGGTCATAGATTTGATTCCTGTAGTTGATTTTTTATTTTACTCTTTGCTCTTTGGGGACCCTCCACCCAGCTCCCAAATAAATAACACAGAGACTTATTTTTACTTATAAATGCCCAGCCTTATCTTGGCTTAATTCTAGCTAGTTTTTCTAGCTTAAATTAACCTGTTTGTCTTCTACATTTTGCCTCTAGGCTTTTTAACCTTTCTTATTCTATATGTCTTTCTTCCTTTCTTACTCCGTGGCTGGCTGTGTGGCTGGCCCCTGGCATCCTCTCTATTTCTCTTTTTTTTGTCCCCACCCCCCCCTCCAGCTGAGGACCGAACCCAGGGCCTTGTGCTTGCTAGGCAAGTGCTCTACCACTGAGCTAAAATCCCCCAATCCCCCCCCTTGCTCTTGTTTCCCTATTCTGCCCACCAGCCCTGCCTATCCTCTCTCTTCTCTAGCTATTGGCTGTTCAGATCTGTTAGACCAATCGGGTGTTTTAGACAGGCAAAGTAACACAGCTTTGCAGAGTTAAACAAATGCAACATAAAAGAATGCAACATATCTTTGCATCATTGAACAAATATTCTATAGCATAAACAGATGTAACACATTTTAAGCTAATATTCCTTATCAGATCCCCAGCACTACAAAACAAAACCTATAAGGAAAGTTGTTATAAATGTTACTAGGTTAAGAAATTATAAATGGCTATAATGAGACACCACAGTTTAGCTTGTTTACATATTGTATGTAATTAGTTTTAAGATCAGATAATAAGATTGCATGGTATAGCTAAATGATGTTTTTTACATATAGGAAGTCCTTTTTAACCAATGATTTTTTTTCCTTTTGTTTTGTGTTTGTAACCCAGTAATCAAAACTGATATAGTATAGGACGCTCGTTAGGCTTCTCAGATTGGCAGTAAAAGAACTAATCTTTTAGGTGGGGAGAGTGTGTTGGGGTAGGGTTAAAGGCCACATGTCAAGATGAGGTGTTTTCCTCAGTTGCTGACTGCATTATTTTTTTGAGGTGAGGTCTCAGTGAGCTCCTAGGCGTCTTTCTCTGCCTTTGTTTCCTGCCCTCCAAATTCTGGGGTTACAGACATGGCTATTGTGCCCAGCTTTTATGTAAGTGCTGTTTATCCAGACTCAGGTCCTCATGCTAGCTTTGCCTGCACTTCCCCATTTCCAGAAAATAAGTAGTGATTTGATACAATGAATAAGCTGAGCTGAGGAGATATGATGGTAAGTTATCTGGACTTGGTGTGTAGTTGTGTCATAGAGTGGTCTGAATGTGGCACCTTAAATGTGTGTATTTCTGTTAGCAGATTTAAAATCTCAAACTATGCCTCATCTGTTTAAAAAATAGATTTTCAGGCCGGGTGGTGGTGGCACACGCCTTTAATCCCAGCACTCGGGAGGCAGAGGCAGGCGGATCTCTGTGAGTTCGAGGCCAGCCTGGTCTACAGCGCGAGATCCAGGAAAGGCGCAAAGCTACACAGAGAAACCCTGTCTCGAAAAACCAAAAAAAAAAAAAAAAAAAAAAAAAAATAGATTTTCAGTAATCATCACACAATTTCTTAGGGTTCCTTTCCAGTATCAAGATGAGGCTACAAGAAAAGATCCTTAAGGTATATTATACATTAGCAAATTGGTAGAATTAAGTGACTGCAGGCTATTGTGCCCTAATAAAGTAGCCCCCAGAAAGTATGTCTGCAGTAGCGTTGTTTCCGTGATAAACTACCTAGCATAAACAACTTCAGGGCAGAAAGATTTATTTTGTTCATAGTTTCATAGTCCCTGGTCCTTGTTTCTATTGCTCAGCCGATTAATGAGTCAGAGCATCATTGGAGTGGGAATGTCTGACAGGTGCTACTCATCTCATGGTGGACAAGAAGCAGAGCTGGACATCGTGGCACACACCTTTAATCCCAGCACTTGGGAGGCAGAGACAACATGGATCTCTGAGTGGGAGGCCAGCCTGGGCCATAATACAGCCCTCAAAGATAGATCCCTACTACACTACTTCTAGTTTGGCCCTGCCTCAAAAATAGTGGTCCCATGAAGGCCCAAAACTTCAGTATGAGTCTTTTGATAGGAATATTTCAGATCCAAACCATAACAATATTTTGTTTTTATATTTTTCGTAGAGTTCTTATTCAGAATAAAAAATAGTAAGGAAGTTTTGTCATTCTGATTTAATGTCTTTAATATTTGGCACTCAGGATATGTACTAGTGTGGTAGAAATTTTTCCTCCATTGAGTCATGCTTAGTATGCACTAAGCTTTGTGTGTGTTGTGGGGGGTTGCTTGTCTTGAGAAAGGGTCTTACTGTGTAGCCTAGGCTGATGTTGAACTAAAAGTCAGTCTCCCACCTTAGTCTCTCTGGTGCTGAGATCACAGGTGTACACCAGCGTGCCTATCTGTGCAGACTTTAAGATGATATTAAGTAATATAAAAATACCACTTAAGTTAAAAATCCCCCATTTTTTTTCCCATGTTTTAGGAGGGTACAGGTCCTCGTGTTATTTCTGCTTTTGTGGAAATCATTTTTGACAATTCAGACAACCGGTTACCAGTAAGTGATAGTTAATTTCTTTTTAAAAATAATAATGTTGAGAATTTTATGCAATGGCTAATTCTTCAATGTTTAAAATTATAAGCACTGAAGATTTATAATTTAGTTCATGCTAAGGTAAATAAGTAGTTTGTCTATGGATTTTGTGTTTAAATTTTAATGACTACTCTAGTAAACAAAGTATGTAAAGCAATTGTAAGAAAAAATTTTCCTAAATATTCATAGTATCATCTTTAGAGAGATTGTTGTAATTCTAAAATAGTTGTGATCAAGGACTTTAAAATGAACTTATTTAAAAAGATGTCTACTTGACTATCTTTGGGCTTTTATTTTTTCTTAGATTGATAAAGAGGAAGTTTCACTTCGAAGAGTTATTGGTGCCAAAAAAGATCAATATTTCCTAGATAAGAAGATGGTCACGTAAGCATTTGTCTTGATGTTTACAGTTTGTTCACAAAAAACATGAGATAAACTACCTCATATTCAACAATCAGTTGTCAGTATGAATATGCAGTCCCTGGTTTCTCTGAGAGAGGGTTCAGTTTCTAACCTGTAGTTCCTAATGCTAAGTAACTCAGCAGCTAATTTGCTTATTGTTAGTTGCTTTAAAATTATTTATCTTGAAATCTTCATTGTTTATTAACAGGAAAAATGATGTGATGAATCTCCTTGAAAGTGCTGGGTTTTCTCGAAGTAATCCCTATTACATTGTTAAACAAGGAAAGGTAAAACAGTTGTACGTCCTTTTTTGTAGAAATTATTTTTCTTGATATCGATTCCCCCTGAATGATTGAGTTTGATTTGTTGGTTCTAGTTGTTAAGTTGGAACAAAAAAACTAGTCATTACTATTTTATATTCATTGATGTATTTTGTACTGAAGTTAATGTTTTTCAGGGCTATGAAGTACCAAATATATTTGGGTATTTTTGTTTATTTGTTTTTGTAGAAAGCCCTGGCTGTCCCAGAAGTCAATATATAGACCAGTTTCTCTGGTCTCAAACTAACAGAAATCTGACTGCCTCTCCCTCCCTAGTGCTGGAATTACCGGCTTGTGCTATCACTGGGCACTAGCTTTATATTGCAAGAAATATGTCAGTAGATTAAGTAGGTATTGGTGAAATTATTAAGGCCACTCCACGTAGTTAAAGGGAGATTTATTTAATGGCGTAACTTACAAATTAAGGAATAGGTAGGTCGCGGAGTCTGGGGAAGGTGTATCACAGTCCAGCGGTGTTCTCTGGAGCTCTGCTCGGTCCACCTCTCCAGTCCAGGGTCCCGCAACAGAGAGAGCGCCCGCCGACCCAGATCTCGGGTCCCCCGGCGCCTCCCTTGGCCCCCCGCCTTGTAGGCGTGACAGTTGCCGAAGTCTCAATGGGGGTTGGAACTTCCAGATCAAAGCTGGAATGGCTACCCACTACAAGTAGGTCTTGTTTATTAGTGACCTAGTGAGGTAGAATTTATTGGAAAACATTGACTTTTGGAAGTTACAGTGATCATATCTAAGACTATTACATAAATTCTATAAAAATTACATTTGAAGCTGGGCAGTGGTGGCACATGCCTTTAATCCTAGCACTTAGGAGGAGAAGCAGGCGGATCTCTGTGAATTCTGGGACAGGTAGTACTGTTACACAGAGAAACCCTGTCTCAAAAAATAAAACAAGACGCTGGAGAGATGGCTCAGTGGTTAAGAACACCGGCTGCTCTTCCAGAGGTCCTGAGTTCAATTCCCAGCAACCACATGGTGACTAACAACCACTTGAAATGAGATCTGGTGCCCTCTTCTGGCCTGCAGGGACACATGCAGGCAGAATACTGTATACAAAATAAATAAATAAATCCTTAAAAAAAATTAAAAAAAAAAAATAAATAAAACAAGACAAAAACAAGAAGTAAAATTAAGTTTGAAAAAATTACTTCCTAAAAGTAACGTTTCATTTAGTTTATTATGGAATTAAAATATTAAAAAGCTTACATTGCAAAAAAAAATACCATAATGCTAAATATCATTTTCCCTTGAAATTTTTTATCAGCTAGACTATAAACTCTGACTGATTATTCTACTGCTTCCTCATATAATTTTCATCTCAGAACTTATCCGTCAGTAGATTTGGGGGGGAGGGGCGAATCTTTTTTTAGAGTATTGTTTGATATGTGTACTTTTGATAAATCACAGTTTCTTAGCTCAGAACCAGTTTTTTTTTTTTATGTAAAAGTGTAAGAATAACAATTTCTTTAATACAGTGGTAGTATTTTGATATCTAATGATTTGTATTAAGTGACATGCCATTTAGATTCTACCAGTATCTTTGTCTATTGAAACATACCATTCTTGTTATTTTTTTGTAACTTGAAATTTTAAAATTATTATTACATGTGCATGGTGTGAGGATCCATGGTGCTATAACTTACATGTGGAGGTGAGAGTGTAGGGTCTAGAATCTAGCTCCTAGCCACTACCCAGAGTTCCTCAGAGAAATGTTTCCCAGGAGTGAGGGATGAAAGATTTCTATAATAATTTCACACACGGGCACAATGTTCTTCACTCCGTTGTGCTGTTTATTGTTCCATCAGTAACAAGCTTCCAAGTTTATATATAGCAACTTGTTGGCAATAAGAAGGGCTGCAAGGTTATTTCTCAGGATCACAAGTACTCTTTGTAGATATGATAAAAAGCACATGTAACAGAAAACTTGTCGGCTTAATTGGCAGCCGGTCTCAGCTGCAGTTGTAAAAGTTGTGGCTTTTCTCTTCAAGGGGCAGCTACAAGTTACAAAGGGAGAAACTAAACCATAGAGAGATCTAAGGAGGAGGCAAAGAATATGTCCAGATATAATAATAATATCTTGACATGGTTAGTTGGTTAACAACCTTTTCTCTTAATCACCTGAATCTCAGGACCTAAATATAAACAGTCTACTGAGCTCTACTGAGCCTAAACTCTTGCATAAAAAAACTGGTATAGAAGTATATACAAAGTGTTAATTGCTTTTTGAATCAGAGTGGGGAGGTGTTGGTAAGGTAGGGCTAGTGGAGGAAGCTTAGAGCAATATAGGTCGCTATTAATCTTTGAAGGACTTTGGTATAACAAGGCCAGCTACCTGCAAATCCACCTTAGTGAAATCTGTGAAACTTCTGTTTGTGATTTGTTGAGGACACTTTGTTTGGCCATATTGCCCTGTCAGTAAGCCAAGGAGAAAGAACAGGCTTCTAAATTTCTCACCGTAATGTGGAGAGCTTGTTTTATTTACCAGAAAAACATAGAAGAAGAGAGAAGTCATCTTCCTGACCATCCACAAATATATTTGCCCATAAGATTGAGATGTAATCATGAGGTTACATGTATACATTTCATGAAAATGCATGGTAATGGGGAGAGATGGCTCAGTGGTTAAGAGTTCTGACTATTCTTGCAGTGTTCTTTGACAGTGGTATTCATCTTTTATACAATTTATTATATTGCCTAAGGGGGAAAATGGTAGTATTTCTTTTATAAGATAGTGATACTAGTAAAAGAGACTGGTAAATAAAGGCGTTAGAGAGGTGTTGACTATGGGGGCTGGGAGAGAGCTCAGTTGGTGAGGTGCCTGCTGTGTAGGTAGGAACAGTGTCTGGTGATCCCCAGTACCCATGTGAAAAGCCCAGTGCAGTGGCTCACCTTTGTAATACCAGTGCTGGAGAGGTGGAGAGGATTTCCAGGGCTGTCTCAAACAAGGTGAACAGCTCTTAAAGAATAGACCTTTGACATCACAGGCGTGTGTGCATATGTGCAACTACATATACCTGAGTATGCACACAAAAGAGAAATGGTCTGTTTACTATATGTATGTTGGTTTAATCATAATCTGCTAAAAACTTAACACATGTAAATTTGTATTAAATGTTTCAGAGCCAAGCATAGTGGTGCATTTTAGTAATAGGGAACGGAGGCAGGAGGATTGAACGTTTGAGGCCAGCTCCTAAGCTACACAATGTAAGCAGTTCTTTAAAAAAAAAAAAGAGAGAGAGAGCCAGACGTGGTGTTGCATGCCTGTAATCCCAGCACTCAGAAAGCAGAGGCAGGTGATAAGTTGGAGGCTAGGCTGGTCTATGTGATGAGTTCCAAGACAGCCAGGGCTACATAGATGGAACCTGTCTCAAGAAGCTGAACAATAAAGGAAACCCTAAAAATAGTCGTCAGTTGTTAATAATCATTATTTTTTCCGAAATTATAGATCAACCAAATGGCAACAGCACCAGATTCTCAGAGATTAAAGCTATTGAGAGAAGTAGCTGGTACTAGAGTGTATGATGAACGTAAGGAAGAAAGCATCTCCCTAATGAAAGAAACAGGTAAAATAAACGTGTTCTACTTAATTTTTATTGTCAATTATTTTCTCGTTGTGTTAATAATAGTTAAAAAGTATTGTCTGGACTCAGAAATACAATATATGGTAATTTTCCTGCATTTTGAGTAGAGGGGAAATTAGTTTGAAGCAGTTTAAGGGTTGAGGTTTGTAGTACTTCATCTTTGAATGAAGAAGGACTATTGTTAGGTAATAGGGCCTTTGCAAGTCAACTAACTTTTGACTCTAGCTTCCTCAGAAGTGTTATCAATAAACTGCTATGTTTTTCCCTCCCTTGCAGATACTGGAAAAGTATCAGCTGTTACAAAGTTCTAAATTGTTCAGAAAAAAAGTAGATGTAGAATTTTTAACTTGAGGTCCTTACTAGTATATTTACTGTGGGAACCCTACTTTGTTTTTTCAAATGCTATATCATATATATTATATAATGGCTTAGAGACAGTTATAAGTTCAAAGTCAGTAAACTGACATGACTTTAGACTTGATTTCTCTGGTCCCAAGACTTCCTGTCTGTAAACTCCTGTTGTAGATTATGGCATTTATCTTGTAGATTAAGGTAATGTCGGGGCTGAAGAGATGGCTCAGCGGTTAAGAGCACTGGCTGCTCTTCCAGAGGTCCTGAGTTCAATTCCCAGCAACCACATGGTGGCTCACAACCATCTGTAATGGGATCTGGTGCCCTCTTCTGGCATGCAGGCAGAACATTGTATACATAATAAATAAATCTTAAAAAAAAAAAAGATAATGTCATGACTGGATTATAGTAAGTGTTGATTATATAGTAGCAGCATGCAGCACCCTTAATGATAAAAACTGTGGATTAGTAATGCTGGTGGTAATTTCTTTTTCTTTAATATTGTGTGACCAGCACACTAATGTGAAAAGAAAGTGGAAACTGGGATCCTTTGCCACATGTCAGAGTGACTGTTAGTGTGTTAATTTGTTCTCCAGTGCTTTTCGTTTAAAAAAAATCAATCTTAATTGCCATTTTTACATCTTAGATTTCATTACCACATGATACCAAAAAAATAATGCTATACTTCTAGAAGGTAATTTTGATTTATATTTGACAAGTGATATTTAGCACCATCTTCTTTCCATTGTTTTGTTTTTTATTTTGAAGAGGGCAAACGGGAAAAAATCAATGAGTTGTTAAAATACATTGAAGAGCGGTTACATACTCTAGAAGAGGAAAAGGAAGAACTCGCCCAGTATCAGAAGTGGGATAAAATGAGGCGTGCCCTGGAGTACACCATCTACAACCAGGAGCTCAATGAGACTCGGGCCAAGCTGGATGAGGTAAGATGCGACCTTTACGTCCAAGTTGTTGTGATTTATGATCATGATAACATCTCTGTATTTACCTTTTAGTGATTTTTAAATAGAAACTTTAAAATGAAAACCTTTTTATTTGTGTGTTTGAGACAATTTTACTTTAAGACCCAGGCTAGTTGTGACTACTGAGTGTTGGATTTACAGGAATTAGCCTCTCTACCAGGCCAAAAAGTAATAGATTCATTGGTTACTGATTTCCTTTAGGTTACTGAAAAGGATATGTTTAGAGCTCTCATTGTACCTAAAATACAGTGAATGATTATGTCAGACCAGATATTTTTTTTCACATTTTAGAATATATTTTATAAAATAATACTTATGATACTTTATACAAAAATTTATTTTAGATTATCCTTGTTTTCTATTTAAAGGAAAACATAAAAGAAATTTTCTTTGTAAAATTTTAAGTTAATTTTATGTTAGCTTTTTTTGGCAGTTGGAAAATAATTTTATAAAGTGTTAGACATACAAAATGAGTTAGAAATAGTAAGTTGTTTTGTTTTTCAGCTTTCTGCTAAGCGAGAAACGAGTGGAGAGAAATCTAGACAATTAAGAGATGCCCAACAGGATGCAAGAGATAAAATGGAGGTAAGATCATAAATAAGCTTCAGATCTATTATCTATCTATCGATCGATCTATCTATCACCTATCTATCTATGTCTTTTTTTCAAGACAGGGTTTCTCCGTGTAGTTTTGGTGCCTGTCCTGGATCTCGCTCTGTAGACCAGGCTGGCTCTGCCTTACAAGTGCTGGGATTAAAGATGTGCACCACCACTGCCCAGCTTATTTATATTTTCAACATTGCAAACTTTTTGTACCAGAGTTGTGGGATGGTGACCGTGAAGGGGAGGGACAGAGATTGGATATTGGAACTTAGTTGTTGGATTAAGTTTCAAGTGAAAGAACAAGATGGACCCAGCAAAGTGGTGTGTGTACGCTGCAAGCCAGCAGCCTGAGTTCCATCTCTGGAACTGATTCCAGAGCATTGTCCTCTGACCCTCACATGTGCTCTGTGGCATGTGCACCCTCACAGTGTGTGTGCATGCAGGTCCACGGATGTTTTGTAAAGAGATGTAGGTGGTTGGTGGTGTCGTGGTCCTTCCATTGTACTTGTGTTTCTGACCTATTTTCTCTTTCTGATTAGGATATTGAGCGCCAGGTTAGAGAACTGAAAACAAAAATTTCAGCTATGAAAGAAGAAAAAGAGCAGCTTAGTGCTGAGAGACAAGAGCAGATTAAGCAAAGGACCAAGTTGGAACTTAAAGCCAAGGATTTACAAGATGAGCTGGCAGGCAATAGTGAACAGCGGGTAAGTTAATGAATAAAAACTGTGTTGATAGAGACACACTATAGAAGATAACCTTTTCAGTGATGGTTGAGTTTTTACAAAAGAGTTGCCACATTTGATTTGTACTCATGTATCAACTTATAAGTGCTCTTTTTATTAATAGTTTAGTTGTAGAATTGAGTTATTTTCATGAGGAAACATTTTTTGCTGATGTTTAAATTAAGCAGATTGCATTTTACTTGCTTTATTTACAGAAACGTTTATTAAAAGAAAGGCAGAAGCTGCTTGAAAAAATAGAAGAAAAACAGAAAGAACTGGCAGAGACAGAACCTAAATTCAACAGCGTAAAAGAAAAAGAAGAGCGAGGAATTGCTAGGTCTGAGAATTTTCACCAACCATTAACCTTGCTGCGTAGTTGTTACCAGTGATCTCTGGGTGGTTCCAGGTTCTTGGTGCCTTGTTCGAAGAATTGGGAAAGATGCTCACACAAAAGAAAACAACCACTAGTTTTATTTAGAGCAAAGCAGAAATACCCATTTGAACACAAACAGGTAGTTATCAAGAGGTTGCTAAGAGGAGTAACTTCCATTGTTTGAAGTGAGGCATACATGCAGCTCAATGCAGGTAGGGGTCCCAGGTTGCCAACAGGTTGCTAGGTACACTGTTAGGAGAGGGCTGTGTGCATAGCCCAAGCCAAGTGGAGCCCATGTTGGTAAGCTCTTATATTTGCCTGCCTAGGTTCCTCTATAGAACCTACATATCTGTACGTTGAGAAAGTACTAGCATAATAAAGGCAAAAATCATAGACCCACTTTAATAAGCAATTTTAGTAATTACTGTGAGCCATGTGGTTTTTGTTTTTATTTTTGTTTTTGAGGTTGGATCTCACTTTATAAGGCTGGTTTCTATGTGCCATCATACCCATGGTGCTTTTTGTACCTATAAGGTCTAGAGTACTACTACTCAAAAGCCCTAGGAGGTTGGACGTGCCTTTTCTTTTTGGAAGACAGTCTCACTTTAGAGCTCTAGCTAGCCTTGAACTCAGGTCTATCTGCCTCTGCCTCCTCAGTGCTGGGATTAAAGGCATGCACCATCATGCCCAGCTTCACTCTTTATTGTGTGTGTGGTCTGCCGTGGAGCATGTGGCAGTCAGAAGACAATTTAAATTGGTTTTCTCTGTCATGTGAGTTGTAGGATGGAGCTGATGTTCAGGTTTGTCATTAAGAGTCTCTTCCCACTCAGCCATCTCTTGCTGGCTGCTAGCATCTACTTTAAACTAAAAAAAAAAAAACAAAAAAAAAAAACCCTGAGGTTCTAAGAGGTTTTGTTTTTGTTTTTGAATGACTGATCCTCCTAACCTGCTTAGAAAGGGCTGGAATTACAGGCATCTGCACTGTGTGTGCAACACCACACCCAGTATTTATACAGGTGCTAGGGATGAACCCAGGGTTTGCATGTTAGGCAAGCATCTCTACCAGAGGAGCTATATCCCCAGGAGAGGTTAGATAACTTAATTAAGATAACTGAATGTCAAAAAATCCAAGCAGCATCTTTTTGAGGGTTGGTGGTGAGGCCTGGGTCTCTTGTAGTCTGAGGCTGGCCTTGAATTCCTCTTGCCTCAGCCTCAAGTTCAGTTGGGAACCAAAGGTACATACTACCATACCAGATCTAAATAACATTCTTCGTTTTGAATATTTTCCCCATTCAGTACTGTTTTAACTTCCAAACATTTTAGTATTCATCTAGATTTCAGTGTTTGCTTATTCCTTGTGATTTAGTATATTTTGTGGGTTTTTTTTCCTGTTTTTCTTACATGCCTCGCAGGTGCTCTTCCACTCTCCTGTTGTATTAATCTCTCAGCTGTAGCCCCTTAACATTTTTACGTCACTTGTATTTATTTTAGTGGACAGCTATTTGTATTCTTTGGCCATCATTGTGTGAAGGTCTCGCCTTGTTTTATAGGGATGTTTTAGGTAATCAGAACATTTATGTTCTGTATGTTAAAAACATTATATTATTCTCTAGGGTGTTTTATTGTATAGTTGAAAATTCATGTATCAGTTAAATATTGTTAGAGCATGTTTGAAAGTTTCTGAAGTAGGACAGTGGCATTGTCTAGATTTAATGACCAAACCAGACCTTGGGTCTGTGTAAAATCCTTAGTGAAGGGATTATTCTGCTTGATTTTAATTATGATATCCAAGTTCATTTGGTGTTACATAAAGCAAAAACAAGTAGCACGAGGAGCTTTATTATTTAGCAGTTATTTTTAGCACTTAATCCCCCTCCCCATTTATTTCATTGTGGGGTGTAGATGTGCTTGCCACATGTGTAGAGGTCAGAGGACAACTTTTAAGAGTGTTTTCTTTTTCCACCATATGGGTCCTGAGCCATCTCACCAGCCCTTAATTCTCTTTTAATGTAATTTTTTAAAGGATAGTTTCTGCAGGATTGATAATGATTACAATTAATTTTATTTCTTGTTCTCTCCTATCTTCTATAGATTGGCTCAAGCTACCCAGGAAAGAACTGACCTTTATGCAAAGCAGGGTCGAGGAAGCCAGTTTACATCAAAGGAAGAAAGGGATAAGTGGATTAAAAAGGAGCTGAAGTCTTTAGATCAGGCTATTAATGACAAGAAAAGACAGATTGCTGCTATACATAAGGATCTGGAGGATACCGAGGCAAATAAAGAGAAAAATCTGGAGCAATACAATGTAAGAACAATTTTGCTTTTTTGGTTTTGGTTTGTTTGAGACATTGTTTTATCTGTAGCTCAGGCTGTTTCTGGAACTCATTGGGTTTTTAGTAGCTTCTCTTACGTATGATCAGTATATAATAAATTGGACATATTTAAGTTATGCCATTTGTTGAATTTCAATATGTATATGTTTATCTGCTTTTTGTCACTATGGATTAAATTGATAATAATTTTTTTCCCATAGAAACTGGATCAGGATCTCAATGAAGTCAAAGCTCGGGTTGAAGAACTGGACAGAAAATATTATGAAGTAAAAAATAAGAAAGATGAATTACAAAGTGAAAGAAAGTTAGTAGACTAAGATGCTGTGTTTTTACATGGTCTTTGTTTGGTTTCAGTATTTTTCTCTTAATTAAATACTGTGCACATCTCATTCTTACTGGTTAGTTACTTGTGGAGAGAGGAGAATGCAGAGCAACAAGCACTTGCTGCTAAAAGAGAAGACCTGGAAAAGAAGCAGCAACTTCTTAGAGCGGCAACAGGAAAGGTAGATGGGTCTCTTGTTTCCCCAGCCATCCGACAGTCAGTATGTACAGCCTGAGTTCCACGCAGGAAAGAGAACACTGAGAAGTATGAAGTAGTGGTGTTATATAGGCAGGTTTTCTTTTGTCTGCTTTATACTTTACTTCTATTTTGCTCTGCTTGAATTAAGGTCTCTCTGTATAGCTCAGGCTGACCCTGAACTCATAGTCCTGCTCAGCTTGCTGAGTGCTGGAATCACAGGTGTGTGCCTTCATACCTGGTTTACTACTTAACGTTACTAATGAAAGCAATTTTGGTTGTTAAAGATCCCATTTTAAAGTCTATCATCATAGAACAGAGCCCATAATAGTGTTAAATGTAGTTATCATATTTCAAGTAGGTGATATGCTGGATAGTGTTTAATTTTTAGGATTTTATATATAAGCAAATGGCATAATAGGCTCATTTCTTGCCAGCAAGAGTGTCATTGGTGATGCTAATATTTTTCACTAACCGGTTTACAGGCCATTTTGAATGGAATAGACAGCATAAACAAAGTGCTAGATCATTTTCGTCGAAAAGGAATAAACCAACATGTTCAAAATGGCTATCATGGCATCGTAATGAATAATTTTGAGTGTGAGCCAGCTTTCTATACTTGTGTGGAAGTCACTGCTGGTAACAGGTGAGGTATTGGGGGTTTTGTTGTTGTTGTTATTGTTGTTGTTTTCCAGTCTGACATTTAAGTGGGTTTTGCTGTTGTTGTTCTTTTAAAGATGAAGAAATGAGGACAATGTAAAAACAGTTTTGTGGTTTGTAGTACAATATGTCTTCTATTACCTGCTTAGTTTTATATTTAACTTTCGAATTAAAGAAGGTAGATGCTAGATACTTGTTTCTAGAACTTTACCCTTTTGGGGCTCACCAGTTCATTGGAATGTTCTCAGTCTTTTCTCCAGACAAATTGATTGGATTGCATAGAAAAATTTGAACTGTGTGATCCTTAAATGCTCATAAACACCTTACAGTCTAGCAGTAAAGATGTGTCTTATTCTGTTTTGTAGGTTATTTTATCACATTGTTGATTCAGATGAAGTCAGCACGAAGATTTTAATGGAGTTCAATAAAATGAATCTTCCTGGAGAAGTGACTTTTCTGCCTCTTAACAAGTTAGATGTGAGGGATACTGCCTATCCTGAAACCAATGTGAGTCCAAGTCTAGGTTGTTTTTTATTATAACATCTACTCAGTGTGTTTTGGTGCTTAGGTACTTTCCATTGCGATTCATTGATCTGTAAGGTAAACATGCTTTCTTTGCATGGGGTGTAGTTAGTGCTGGGTTGGGTTGAGGAGGGGAAAGGTCACAGCCAAGTCATGAAACAATCATTGTGTATGTGTTTATCATCCCAGTGACAGAGAGCAGGAGGCTTAGGAATTGGGGAAGAATTCCCCAAGAAACCTGTCATATAAAAGGAATATGTTGAGGGTTTTGAGATATGCTTTTAAAATAGTTTAAACTGAAAACATCTATTTTTGTTACAAGGTATATACACTTTAAATGGATTGTCAGCTTTGAAAATTTTAGTTGCTTTGAGGTATTTGATCTCAGAATGTTGATTGTTTTAGCAAACTTATGCTCTAGGATTAAGACTGAACCTATATGAGAATGATCTGTAATTTAAGTAGCATATACAGAGGCTTTCTTGCTTTTAAATAAACCAGTTTTACCTTTGAAGCTCTGAGGGGGAAAATTGAGGCTCACAGATATGACATATGAATGAAACAAAACACAAAAGAGGCTGGGAAGGTGACTCTGGGGTGAAGGCCTGTCCTGCCGAGTCTGAGTACCCAGGTGTGATCCCTGGGGCCACCTGGTGAGGAGAGACACTGAGTCTTTCCGATTGTCTTCTGACCTCTACATGTGTGCTGTGGCATGTCTCCACAGGTACATAGACATACCACATGCCCAGACAAGTACACACACACATACTGTACAGAGCGAGAGAGTTTGAGATGTGTGGCTCACTGGAAGAACACTTATGTAATGTGCAAGATGTTCTGGGTTCAGTCCTCAGCATGACAGGAAGACAGAAGAATGGATGCAGGGTGGATCTGTTTGTACTGTATAAAGAGCGACCTAATTAAGATAACAGGCCAGAGAGATAGACAGTAGCTAGTCTGAGTCGTGATCACCTTCATTGGGTAACCACAAAGTAGCTGCTGTGCAGTTAGAAATGGCTCCTGTGCTACAGTATATTCCTTCTTGTGCTGTATAGTGGTTACATTGTTCTTTAATTATTAAAAAGCTCTGTTCTGACTTTAGGAAAGAAAAAGGTGAAAATGATGTGTATGTGTGTTTATGAGCAAGTGGAGGCCAGAGAATATCCTCTTACCCTTTTCACCATAATTTTTGAGAAGGGGTTTCTTTACTAAGCCTGCCTCACTATTTGGCTAGGTTGACTTGTCCTGTTAGTTCCAGGGATCAGCCTATCTCCAACTTCCCCAACCCCCCACATTCTCCAGTGCTGAGGCTACAGGTGTGTTTTGCCCTGCCTGGCTTCTTGTATGGGTGCTGGGGTTCTGAATTCAGGTCCTCATGCTTGCACAGGAAGCCCTTTACCTGCTGAGCCATTCTCCTAGCCTGAAAATAAATATTATCTGAAAAAGTATTTTTCTGAATATCAATTTAGATGTCTGTTATAACTAATTAGAACACTGAGGAAATAACTAGTTTTATATTTTTACCTTTTATGTCATATATACTGTCTCATCTTTCCATATATTACCTCATTTAATCTTTACAACTACATAAGGAAGGGGCCAGTGTTACAGTCTCGAAGTCGGTCTTAACTGGGTAAGTTAAGCACACATCTCCTGGCAGCAGAGCTAGGAGTTAAGCTTTCATGGTCAGGTCAACTTAGAGCAGCTCTTCACAGTAACCAGCCGGTAAACCTTTGGTTACAGGGGAAGGATTTCCAGGTTAGTTCAGTACAATGATTTTTTCCCTACTGACTTCTGTATAAAAACCAGTAATTTGTAATATTAGGCTATTTGTTTTCATTTTTACTTCATAAAGAAATAGTTATAGTAATAATTCCGCAAACAGTTTTTGATCAACTGTTTCACAGTATTTTTCCTAACATATTTTTGTTCTAGGATGCTATTCCTATGATCAGTAAACTGAGGTACAATCCCAGGTTTGACAAAGCTTTCAAACATGTGTTTGGGAAGACACTCATCTGTCGGAGCATGGAAGTTTCCACTCAGCTGGCTCGTGCTTTCACTATGGATTGTATTACTTTGGAAGGTTTGTAATAGTAATTAGCTTTAAACACACTCTAATGAAACATGTAATATGCGATGCATAATGTGTCACTCAGGCAGTAAGCATATTGGGGAGTACTTCGTAGAATTTAGTCATATTTTAAAAGCATTTGAAAATTCATGTCAGTTTCATCAATTTTTAAAATGGTTTAAATAAAAGTACGGATTCTACTTGTAAGTGTAAACATTTGGTCTCTGGCATCATATGCTCCTTTGGCTGTTGAACAACGAAGCCTATGGACCTTTTCTCAAAAATGAAAACAGTGGCTGGGCGGTGGTGGCGCATGCCTTTGATCCCAGTAGAGGCAGGCGGATCTCTGAGTTCAATGCCAGCCTGGTCTTATAGAGTGAGTTTCAGGACAGTCAGGCCTACACAAAAACCCTCTCTTAAAAAACAAACAACAACAACAAAACAAAAAAAAGAAAGAAAGAAAGAAAGAAAAAAGAAAAGGAAACTTTTTAAGAAGCACCTGTTTATTAGGATAATTACCAAAATAATTTTAACATGATTCTTTAAAATAATAGCAGTGGGTCTAAAACTTAAAAAAAAACAAAACAAAAAAACAGAATCTCAACTGTGCATCTATGGCTAGCCTGGAACTCATAATGTAGACCAGGCTGGCCTCGATCTCAGAGAGATCTACCCGCCTCTGCCTCCCAAGTGCTGGGACTAAAGGCGTACACCACTACACCCAGCTAACTACCAAATTTCAAAAATTTCAAACTTCATGTAAATAATATTTTGATATTTGTAACAAGTGTAATCTAACATAAAAATAACTTTTCTTTATAAGGAAGTCATGGGTGCTAATAATGCTACATTTTCTCCCAAGGGTAATAACAAACTTTCCCCTACTCAGATGTAATTGAATTTATCTGTATAATTCAGGATAAGAATTTTTAATAATGTAGGTTTTAGTGTCCTCATTTTTGTTTAATTTTTCAAAGTAACATGCCCACATTGTTGTCAAACCATCTGAATGATGAAAATAAGCTGTAAACATTATTTCATCCTAGAACTTACTGAGTGTCTCTGAAGGACATTCTCCAGTCAGTACATTGTCACACCTAAAACTTTGAACATTAAAAGACACTGCCTCGGGCGGTGGTGGCGCTCGCCTTTAATCCCAGCACTGGGGAGGCAGAGCCAGGCGGATCTCTGTGAGTTCGAGGCCAGCCTGGGCTACCAAGTGAGTTCCAGGAGAGGCGCAAAGCTACACAGAGAAACCCTGTCTCGAAAAAAAAAAAAAAAAAATTTGCCGGGCGGTGGTGGCGCACGCCTTTAATCCCAGCACTCGGGAGGCAGAGCCAGGCGGATCTCTGTGAGTTCGAGGCCAGCCTGGGCTACCAAGTGAGTTCCAGGAGAGGCGCAAAGCTACACAGAGAAACCCTGTCTCGAAAAAAAAAAAAAAAAATTTGCCGGGCGGTGGTGGCGCACGCCTTTAATCCCAGCACTCGGGAGGCAGAGCCAGGCGGATCTCTGTGAGTTCGAGGCCAGCCTGGGCTACCAAGTGAGTTCCAGGAAAGGCACAAAGCTACACAGAGAAACCCTGTCTCGAAAAAAAAAAAAAAGACACTGCCTCTTGTCTCTCTCCCGTTTTGGTGGGGAGGGGGTGGGGGAATGATGATGACACACACATAGGGTCTCACTGTGTAGCTCTGGCTGTCCCAGAACTCATGATGTAGACCAGCCTGGCCCTGAACTCACAGATCCTCCTGCCTCTGCCTCCCAAGATTGGGATTAAAGGCATGTGCCACCATACCTGGCTTTTTCTCCCTTTTTCCTCCTTAGAAACTGACTTTGAGAAAAATGTCCCATTCTTTGGATTTATCATATTTATTCCTTCTCATTAGATTCTAGTTCAACATTCTTGATATGACTACTATGTAAGTGATGTTTGTTTCTTAAGGTATCAGATAATGTGTCCCAAATTAATGATGCTAAAGTTGATCATTAGCATGTCTTTCAGGTAAAGATACTTTACTTCTTTGTATCTAATAATATGTGAGGTTATTTATAGGACTACATGAGCTGGTCACAATGGTACACACTTTTAATCCCAGCACTCAGGAGACAGGCAGGTGGATCTCTGAATTTCAGGCCTGCATGGTCTACATAACTAGTCCCAGGCGAGCCAGGACTGCATAGTGAGACCCTATCACTGAAAGATAGGTAGGGTGGGTGGGTAGGTAGATAAGTAGATTGATAGATAAACAGATTAATTGGATAGTCTACAAGAATATCAGGTTCCCTGACAATTGCTTAAACATACTTTGTTAGTAAACATTCTTTGTTATTAATAACTCAGTGTTTCAAAGTGGTGTTTCTTTTCTCATTTACTCTACCTGTTACTTTGGCAAAGAACCCTCCTCTCAGTTTTTTAAGTATTTATAGATTCTTGTTTTAAATTTACCACCGTGGTTCTACATTTGCTCAAATTATTGATGCTCAAATCTTCCCAAATTAAAGACTACCAATTTTAATATTGGAAAGTAGGGTTTTTTAAGAGTAGCTGGAATTCTTAAGTTACCCTTTTCAATCTCATGTTGTTAGAGCCCTTAGGTTAGTATTTCATGATAAGTTAGTTACTAGTAGAAAGCTATGTATAGCAGTCCTATATTTTGTTTACAGGTGATCAAGTCAGCCATCGAGGCGCTCTGACTGGAGGCTATTACGACACAAGAAAGTCTCGACTTGAGTTACAGAAAGATGTCAGAAAAGCAGAAGAGGAGCTGGGTGAGCTTGAAGCAAAGCTCAATGAAAACCTGCGCAGAAACATTGAAAATATCTTTTTGTTTTGTGCTTAACGCCATACTGTGGAGAAAGAACTGTGTTTTAATTGCAGATACAGTCTTGTGTGTTAGGTGTTTTGTTTTTTCATATTGCATAGGGGAGCTTATACATTCCACTTTAGTTTTTATTTCCACATCAGAGCTCGTTTAGCTTCTGAAGACTAAGAGAAAACATTTGAAAAGTAATGCTGATTTTTGTTTCACTGTTACGTAGTTCTTACTAGTGAGTGCTTTGAAGAGATAAAACTTGAGGAGCAACAAAATTGAAGGTTTTCAGGCAGAGAGGAAATGGAAGGAAGCGCTGGCTGATGTTTCAGGGGGGAGGAGTGTCAGTAATGCTGTTGTAAACAGATGTTACATATGTCCACACTGGAAAATGTCCTTTAGTGTTTACTGTCTTGGCAAAACTGTGTGCAGATTTAATTTTAGTGGAGGTAATGACAACAGGTATCCAAATCTGAGTAACTAGTTCTTCCAGATAAGTGTAGTGCTACATGAAGGGTGGCTGGTTCAGCTACCAGAACACTTGTGCATATGTGTTTCTTAAAACAGCCATGGTGCTTTTGGTGTGTGTGTCCTGTTTTGTCACCTAAGAGTGTGGATACCTGAATACTGCTTCAGGACATCCGTAACTGAAAGGTATTTTTTTAACTGCAAGTTTGTAGTTCAAACAACATACAGAAAGAGACAAATGCTTTAGCTTTGATCCTGCAGGGATCTGTGTATGATACTTTTAACTGCTTAAATGCGGCAAGATATTAGGAGAGAGAATATGAGGAAGTATTAGAAAAAGGATGCTGTGTGTTGGGTTCTGGCTCAGTGGGTCAGGTACTTGGAGCACAGCATGAAGACATGAGTTCGGTTCTCCAGCACTCGTGAGAAAAGCTGAGTGTGGCAGAGCTCTTTCTTACCCGAGCACGTGGAGAAGGATGGAGACAGGTGGATCCTAGGACTTTGTTGGCCAGCAAGTTTAACATACTGGTGCTTTCCAGACTCATGAAGAAATACTCTCTCAAAAAGTAATGGAGAAAGTAAAAGAAGACAACAGATGTTAACCTCTGGCCTTCACCCACATTTGTGCTGTACACCCCACCCTCATGCACACAAATACAAAGAGAAAGGATGTTGACAGCTGAAGCTGCTGTCTGTATTTGCCAGTCTATTTAGATTTAATTATTTTACATTAGGCAAGGCTACTCTTCATACCTGACCCCTCAAAGCAGTGCCTTCAGCATAATAAATATATATATTTTTGAAAGAAAATATATTTAAGTGTGTGTGTGTATGCCCGTGTATACACACATATATGCTATTACTTGATTTTGCTTAACATATTTTAATCCTACTTTTTTGTTTTATTCAAGTAGAAGTAAAATAAATATGCTTATTTAGAGTAGAAAGTGTAATGAAATGTTTCAAACTTATGACTGAACATTTTTAGTGATAGTATTTAGTTCAACATTATTGTGGTCCATAAATTTGGGGAAATTACTTAGGGGTAAAGGAGAGGAGGATGCATGATGATGTATTGTAAGAACTGAAGGGAATCTAGAGTATGTGATGTGTTTACAACCTTAAGAGAGTTTTCCTTAGCCTTGTATATGGATTAATAATGAAATTGATCAGTTGATGAACCAAATGCAGCAGATAGAGACCCAACAAAGGAAATTTAAAGCATCCAGAGATAGCATATTGTCAGAGATGAAGATGCTAAAAGAGAAGAGGCAGCAGTCAGAGAAGACCTTTATGCCAAAGGTCCGTGAGTATGTCTTGTTACAGCTTTGCGTTAGTGTAGACTTGCAGTGGATCGTAGGTTGTACAGGTATCATTGATTTCATGCTTTGTATATCAGTAGCAATAAGACAGCACAGTGGAAGACAAAAGATGGTTCCTTAGTTACATTATTCAGAACATTATGTCAACTTCTGTTCTTACGAATATGCCTGAAGATTTTTATATAGTTTAACCATGTAATAATTTGTCCCTCCTCTCAGTTTTGCATTATAAATACCTACATAGCTCTAATTACCAAACATAGTATAGTGCCTGGAGTATACTTGGTGATGGAGTCTTGCCCAGCAGGGGTGATGTTGAGGCCCTGGATCCAACTCCCAGCACCAACAAGAGGGAAAAATTTTAATTAGTACATGTTTCTGTTGATTTTGGTTTTATTCCAGTAAACCTATCATAAGTTATAAATATCATAAGCACAAAACACATTCAGTAAACCTAACAGAAGCCTATATAGTACTTTAATAATTGCGTTATATAGTTTAGCTCACTTAATATATACATAGTTTGCAGTGTTTTGCTGTTTATATGTACTGTAATGACTAATATTAATAAATGATAATCTTATATAGCAACGTAGCTTACAGAGCTTGGAGGCAAGTCTGCATGCTATGGAGTCTACCAGAGAATCACTGAAAGCAGAACTAGGAACTGATTTGCTTTCTCAACTCAGTCTAGAAGATCAGAAAAGAGTAGATGCACTGAACGATGAAATCCGTCAACTTCAGCAGGCAAGTACACCTAACAGTGAAAAAAACCTGTTGAAAATGGGTTGTCCAGAAGTACAGGAAGACCCTGTCTCAAAGTATTTGATGCTGGGGGTGTGGCCCACGTCTTTAATCCCAGCGCTTGGAAGACAAAGGCAGGCAGAGCTCTGTGAGTTTGAGGCCAGCCTGGTTTACAAAGCGAGTTCCAGGACAGCAGGGCTACACAGAGAAATCCTGTCTTGGGGGAAAACAAAAATTGAAAGAGAAGAATGTTAAGAAAACAGAAAAAAACAGACATGGCATTTGAATACCCATGAGAGTAAATAAGGTTTTGTTATGTTTGTCTAAGCTCTTCTGGGTATCTTCCATTTACATTCGTCTTATTCAATGCATGTTTATCATTAGTAACTGCAGTGGTCACTTTTGATAAAATGCACCAGCAAACATGGCATTAGAGAGAAAGGGTTTCTTTTGGCGCACAGCATAGCATCCATCATTGATGCCACAGTCCATCATGGCATCAGGAGCTTGAGGCAGCTGTCACTACAGTGTAGCAGAGGGAAACAACTGTGTTCAGCTCGCTTGCTTTTTATGTAGTTCAGATCCCCAGGCCATGGAGTGGTACCTCTCACATTCAGAGTAGATCTTCATATAACCTAAGAGATAATCCCTGTCTTGCAGGCGTGACAAGAGCCTGTCAGATGGAGGGTGTGTAGTCATTAGTAATGCTGCTAGCTTTCTATGCACTTACATGTATATGTGTGCACATGTGCACACGCCAATAATCAGCTTTGTGTATGACATTTTAATTACATTTGGTGTTGGTTTTTTCTTACAGGACTGTCCACATGTAGCCTAGTCTGGCCACTCATTGTGTGTGGGGGGGTAGGGGGTGGGGGTGTTGAGACAGCCCTTGGCTTGGGAGTTGGTTCTCTCTACCATGTGGATTCTGGGGTAGAACTCAGGTTTGGTAGTCTTGGCAGTAAATCCACTTATCCACTGAGCCATTTTGCTAGCCCAGGACTTTGGGTTTATTTATTTATTTATTTATTTATTTATTTATTTTGGTTTTTCGAGACAGGGTTTCTCTGTGTAGCTTTGCGCCTCTCCTGGAACTCACTTGGTAGTCCAGGCTGGCCTCGAACTCACAGAAATCCGCCTGGCTCTGCCTCCCGAGTGCTGGGATTAAAGGCGTGCGCCACCACCGCCCGGCTGGATTTTTATTTTAATACATAGTTGTAAACAATCAATAGTCATCCCAAAAGATAAGAGAGATAAGAAAGTTGGTTTTGGTAGCATGTCTTTTATTCTTATTTAATGTATATGAGTGTTTTGCCTGTGTGTATGTATGTGCACTACTTAAATGCCTGGTGCTGGAGGCCAGAAGAGGATGTCAGATCCCCTGGACCTAGAGATATAGATAGTTGTGAACCCCTGTGTTGGTGTTCTTCAGCCCTCTTGGTAGCATGTCTTATAAAAAGCAAACTAGGAACAGAAACAATAACTTTAACTTTTTTTTTTATTTCATGGCTGGACATGGAGATTATAGAAAACAGCTTGTGAGAATCGGGTCTCTCCTTGCATTGCGGGGGTTCCAGGGATTGGAACACTCCCATGTCAGCTCATTTGAGTACAAGCAATAGGACAAAGATTTTTTTTTTCTTTCTTTCTTAAGCATTACTTTATTATTCTTTGTATGTGTGATATTGGGGTGGGGCACATGTATATACCACAGTGTATATGTGGAGGGCAGAGGACAACTTTGTGGAGTTGATTGTCTGCTTCTACCTTTATGTGGGTTCCAGGATTGAAATCAAGTCATCAGGCTGTGTGCAAGTGCCTTTACCTACCTGTTGAGCCATCTCTCTGGCCCTTAACATTTTTTGACAATTTCATAATTCTGTGTTTTTTTTAAAATTCTATTATTCTAGGAAAACAGACAGCTGCTAAATGAAAGAATTAAACTAGAAGGTATTATTACTCGAGTAGAGACTTACCTGAATGAGAATCTGAGGAAACGCTTGGATCAAGTAGAACAGGTACATTCTTTTCTGAGCTTCTTGCTAATCATAAGCTAGAGAAAGTGTGTCAGTGAGCACTGATTGGAAGCATCAGTTAGGGACCAAAAGACCCACTGAGGATAGTCCTTAGGTTGGAATTCTAGCACTGCCACCTAGTGTGTGACTTGGGCAAGTCATTATTTAATATTTCTGTTCCCAGTTTTCTTTAGTGTAATGTCAGTATAATAGTGGCACCTGCTTTATTTGATTGTAATCTTGTTGTGTTCTAGATACTTACATGCTCAGTGTCACTTTACAGTTACTTAGTAGTTAGGCACTCAGATTTACATCATTAAGTTTTTCCTCTGTAATGGCTGCTTCAGTTATTTTCAAGTATAAATACAAAAACATATGAGACATGTGCTTCCTTAAATGTTCATTTAAACAGCTAATTATAATATTTTTAAACTCAAAATTTCTGTTTTAAGGTTTAATCTCATTAAACTTCGTTCTTTGTGTTACAGGAACTTAATGAACTGAGAGAGACAGAAGGTGGTACTGTTCTTACTGCCACAACCTCAGAACTTGAAGCTATCAATAAAAGAGTAAAAGATACTATGGCAAGATCAGAAGGTAAGTACTTAAATTTTTTTCAGTGTTTTGTTGAATTTAGTTTGTTTTGCAAAATTGTTTGCTGCAAAATGAAATACCGAACTGACTTGTTAAAATGGCTCTGGTAGTTTTATGAGACTAGTAACATGTTCTGCATTTTATTTATTGGAGGAAAGTGTCAGAGGGAGAAGAGATGGTCCTCATCGGGCCATGCTCCAAAGTCATGGCCAGGTCCTAACTGTGTGTGATGGTCTAAAGGAGGGAATGTCATTACCTCTTTAAGTCATTCATGATAGAATGTAGATATGCAAATGATTCTACAAATTTTCCTGTGGTAGTGCTCTGGAATTGGGTAATTTGTGAATTTCATAGTAAAATATAAACAGAGAAAACTTAAAGCCTACCTGCTTTAGACAGTCTGACCATTAGTCTTTACTCAGATAACATTCTGATTATGAAATGAGTCTTAATATCCTTTCTTTTCTTTTTCCCCATCTTAGATTTGGATAATTCCATTGACAAAACAGAAGCTGGAATTAAAGAGCTCCAGAAAAGTATGGAGCGCTGGAAAAATATGGAGAAAGAACACATGGATGCCATAAATCATGACACTAAAGAGCTGGAGAAGATGACCAACCGGCAAGGCATGCTGCTGAAGAAGAAAGAGGAGTGCATGAAGAAGATCCGAGAGCTGGGCTCCCTTCCCCAGGAAGCCTTTGAAAAGTATCAGACACTGAGCCTTAAGCAGGTAAAGCTTTCTCCCTGCACTTCAGAGTTGTCCTTGCTAAATCCCCTCCAGTGTGTGAGTATATTAATCCAGTTTGTTTCTCTTTCAGTTGTTTCGAAAACTTGAGCAGTGCAACACAGAGTTGAAGAAGTACAGCCATGTTAACAAAAAAGCTTTAGATCAGTTTGTGAATTTCTCCGAGCAGAAAGAAAAGTTGATAAAGCGACAAGAAGAATTGGATAGAGGATACAAATCAATCATGGAATTAATGAATGTACTTGAACTTCGAAAATATGAAGCTATTCAGTTAACTTTCAAACAGGTATGTTCTGGTGGTAATGAAAACCCCAAATAGGCAAAAGCTTCAGTTCTTCTTTTGTTTGAAGGTAGATTTAACATACAGGAACTAATGCAGCTTACTGGCCACTAACGTAGTGACTGAGTGTTTCACACAGCTCTGGAAAGGATCTGTTGTTTTGGCTAACATTTAAAAATACCTCTTACTGCTTTTAAATATTGGTTTCAGACAGAATTATCCCTGGGCCACATTTGTATTTCAGTTGACATTTTTTTTTCTTCAAGGTGTCCAAGAATTTCAGTGAAGTATTCCAGAAGTTAGTACCTGGTGGCAAAGCGACTCTGGTGATGAAGAAAGGCGATGTGGAGGGCAGTCAGTCTCAGGATGAAGGCGAGGGGAGTGGTGAAAGTGAGAGGGGCTCGGGGTCACAAAGCAGTGTTCCGTCGGTTGACCAGTTCACAGGAGTCGGAATTAGGGTAAAAATCCCTTTGTATTCAGTTTTCCTTGTAGCTTTACCAGAGTCGAATTTGTATTTTATCTGAATTGTTTATGTGCCGCTTAATTTTGAAGGGTGATGGTACCATCGCCTTTAGGATAGTAACACTCTGTGTTCTCTTAGGTATCATTTACGGGAAAGCAAGGTGAAATGAGAGAAATGCAGCAGCTCTCGGGCGGACAGAAATCTCTGGTGGCCCTTGCTCTGATTTTTGCCATTCAGAAATGTGACCCTGCTCCTTTTTACTTGTTTGATGAGATTGACCAAGCTTTGGATGCTCAGCACAGAAAAGCTGTCTCAGGTAGAGTTCTGATTTTCTGTTCGATAAGAACTTGCTCTGCCTGGGGAGATGGGGAGTACAGTCCTACCATGCAAGCATGAGGGCCCAAGTTTGGACCTCTAGCACCCACCTAAAAGTTGGCCAGGGAACAAATGGAGTTTGGTCGAGAGTCCTGGGAGATCAAAGACCACCCAGTATAGCCAAACCATGAGCTCCAGGTTCAGTGAGACCTTACCTCAAAAAAAAAAAAAAAAAAAAAAAAGATAAGGTGGAAGGCCAGGGAGAGTGGCAGGAAGATATTAGTATCGGACTAAACATAGGCACACTGAAGAACTGGCTGGGCTAGGGATAGAGCTGGGGGTGGAGTGCTTAGCCAGCAAGCCCAGAGTCTTGGGCTTGATGTCCAGTACTTCATAAACCGGGCAAGGTGGCCCTTGTCTGTGTTCCTAGCATTTAGAAAGTGAGGCAGGAGGATCGGAAGTTCAAGACCAGTGGAAAGTGCACATCAAGTTCGTGGCCGGCCTGGGATGCATTCAACCCTGTCTCCAGAAATGTCTTAAAGATAATAGTAATGGTGGCTTAGCTCTTTCTTAGTGGCTTGTTGCCTGAAGTATATTTTCTCTGAACAGTTTTAATAGTTTGGTAATAGACTGCTTTCAGAGTTTACTTTAGAGAAATAGATGTAATTAATTCTTCCACTTAATTGAAAATCTTTCAATTAAATTTTTATCCAAAAGCCTTAAAACTTGTGTTTTTTTGGCATTAAGGGTAGTACTTGTGTGTCTGGAGATGGCTTAGCAATTAGAGCATTGGCTGCTCTTGCAGGATCTGAGTTTGATTTCAAGCACCCTCATGGCTTCTCATGGCATTCATAATTCCAGTTCCAGAGGATCCAACACCCTCTTCTGACTTCCGAGGAAGGGTACTGGGTACACACATGGTATACATGTATACATGTAGACAAAATGTTCACACACACACACACACACACACGATGTTCAGAAAGTAGTGCTTGCCATAAACTTAATTTTTTATTTGAGATGCTAAATCTGATCTTACATGTTAAAAGCTTTCGAATGGAGTAATGGGTGTAGTTAGCATACGATTTTGTGTGTACATGAGAAAATGTTTGGCTCTGACATTTCTTTTTTTTTTTTAAAGATTTATTAATTTTTTATGTGTACAGCATGTATGACTAGAAGAGGGCACCAGATCTCATTACAGATGGTTGTGAGCCACCATGTGGTTGCTGGGAATTGAACTCAGGACCTCTGGAAGAACAGTCAGTGCTCTTAACCTCTAAGCCGTTTCTCCAGCCCAGGCTCTGACATTTCTAATGTTAAAAGTCTTCTGTTTTGGATTTATTTTTGGTTTTTCATTTTGAGACAATGTCATACAGGAACCTTGGACAACTAATCCTCTAGCCTCCTTCCATGTGCTATGATTATAATATCACCATACTGGGTTAGAAGTTTCTTTATGGTAAATAAAAACATTATATTCTGTAACTCTAGGACATACTAGGATGAATTGTGGGTTTCGTTTTTTTTTTTTTTTTTTTTTTTTTATTGTTTTTGTTGTTTTGAGACAAGGATCTCTGTGTAGTCCTGGCTGTCCTGGAACTCAATCTGTAGACCACACTGCCTCTGCCAGAGATTTTATTAGTACTTTTGAACAGTTAAGTTGATAATTTTTGCAGACCAAAAAAAAAAAAAAAAAAAAAAAACACACACAGTCTGCTTTAGCAGGTTTGAATTTTAGGCAGGAATAAAAATAGTTGCTTTTAAAATTTTCAGGTGTGAGAAAGGAGATTTGTTAACTCACTTTTGTTTTCACAGATATGATCATGGAACTAGCTGTGCATGCCCAGTTTATTACTACTACTTTTAGGCCTGAACTGCTCGAGTCAGCCGACAAATTCTATGGTGTAAAGTTCAGAAATAAGGTAATTTTATTTTGTATTACGTTGGTATTTTATGTTAGGTTGTATTATTTTGTATTAGGTTTCATTGTATTTTTTATTTTGGTTTTATGTTACATTAGTGAAAGACTTAGAAAGTCATTGTTTAAATGATGACGTCTTCCTAGAAAAAGGAAAAACTTTAACTTTCATGCCATTTGTTACCTCGATTTTCATTAAGAGAAAGAGTTGTGGGTGTGGGTGGCCAAGTGCTTGTCTAGCATTTATAAGGCTTTAGGGTTTGATCCTTGGCAGCCCCCAAACTGAAATGTAGCCCAGGCTGCCCTCAACTGGCAGTCCTGCCTCTGCCTCCCAGGTGCTGAGATCATGGGTGTTGACACCATGCCAAGCTGTAGAATTTTTTTTTTTTTTTTTTAACCTTCCACGTTGAACAGACAGGGTTGTTCATAAAGACTTCCAACAGCCAGTGCTTCAGAATCACTTGACATGGTAGGTAAAATTAAAAATTTTGTGGGTGGTTGCTGTATATATTAGATACTACCCTATGCAGTACTAATAGTAACTGATATATTCCTTTAAGATCTAACAGACTTCAACATTTACTGTTCTTCAGGTCAGTCACATTGATGTGATCACAGCAGAGATGGCCAAAGATTTTGTAGAAGATGATACCACCCATGGTTAATTGAAAGATACTGCCTGTTGTCTTGGAAGATGTGTATAATAATGTCTTCATACCTAGGAACTGTAAATTTTAAAACTAAATAATTGGTTATTATTGAGTTTTTGGATTTAGAATATACAGTCCTTTTATACTTGTCTTTGTATTTTATAAACTCCCCTGTAATGTTACATTTCTACGTATAGTTGAGGAATTTTATTTCCTACACAGCTTTTTGTAAAGTGTTCTCCTATTTTAAATCTTTTGAGATATTCTAAATATTCTTCTGAATTATTTTACCAGTTACACTTTTTATAGCTTCTATTAAATAATTGGTTTGTGACTAATTTAGTGTAAATGTGGCTTTTTGTCATTGTAATGGTTAGAAACATTAAATATTTTGCATAAGAAAGTGTTGGTTTTCAGTTAATAGAGGATTGAAAAATGCAGTTCCATATTCTGTTAATTGCACCAGTGGGTGTTCAGTTCTGGCTGCAGGTTTTCATCTGTTGTGAACTTTTCAAAGGGTCTTTCCTTGGGCAGTCCAGTCACAATCTTAAGGGAGTGCTGTCCCAAGCACCTTGCTTGAAAATTCATCGGATGATGCTGAGTTTGACGGTTGCTAAACACCCTGCTTTCACTCAGTATAGTAGTCCTTTGAACATTTTTGTCTGAGTGTATGTCCATATACCCAGAAGAGGGTATCGGATCTCCTGGGGCTAGTTATAGACATGTCTGAGCTCCTGCTCAGACATGAACTTCGGATCACTGGAAGAACAGCCAGTGCTCTTAGCCACTGAGCATCTCTCTAGCCACTCCCTTTGGACATAGTAAATTTAATATGACAGTGTATTTTAACAGAAGTTGTTCTGGGTTTGGGAAAGCAATTTTAAGTGGAATTTAAAATGCTGACTCCAAAAATGAGCCATGCAGTTTCCTGGATAAGTCAGGACAGTTTAAATAAGATGTTTTTAACTAGCCAGGGGAAGTAGCTCAGTACGAGAATCCTTGTCTCCAATGTGCAAAGCCCATTCCCTGGTACCACAAAAAGTAAGATTCTGTTACTGAAGCCACATTCCCCATGAGGTTTTTGGGGCATTTGGTTTGTTTAAAAGGTCTTGTCATTCATGTGTCATAAAATTTACCCATGTATGCCTGTGTGCAATTCAGCATGTTTAGTATATTCACAGAATTGTGCAGTCATTTCTATAATGTTAGAACTGTGGATGTGAGCTGACCCCTCAGCCTCTGGCAACCACAAATTGGCTCTTAGTCTTGTGCTATAGATTTGTTTGTTTCGGGGATTTCATGTGGATTCATACAATACAGTAGCCCTTGTCACTGGCAGCTTTTAACTTAGCCTAGTGTTGTCGAGGTTCCTCTGTGACGTAATGTGGACTATTCCTGCTGTGTGGATATGCACTAAGGTTTGCTTATCCCTCATCGGGGCTTGGAGGGTTGTTTTGTTTTTTAACTTTTACTTCTATAAATAATGCTGCTTGTAATGTCAGGTATCTGTGAACTTTTGTTTCTCAGGACTATGTCTAAGAATGGAGTTGTTTGGTCCTAGAGTAACTAATTTCAGCATTTTGAGGAACTGTCAAGCTTTTCCAAAGGAGCTGACCATTGTTTCTAACTACTGTAGTTACTATTTTTCCATCTTCACTGACACTTGTTACTCCTTTTTCTTTTTAAAATAGTCATTCTTATGGATGTGAAGCAATGTCTCAGTAAAGGTTTTAATTTGCATTTTTCTGATTACCAATGATGTCAAGAACTTTCTGTGAGTTTGTCATTTGTGTATCTTCTCTGGTGAAACTTTTATTCATATCTTTTGTCTATCTTTAAATTCTGTTATTTGAATTCTTGAAGAATTCTTCTAAATTTTATTATTTATGTGTGTGCATATATTCTTGCCATGATGTGCATGGAGAGATGGGAGTTGGGTCTCTCCTTCCCCCATGTGGGTCTCAGGGGTGGAACTCACTCAGGTCGTCAGGCTTGGCAGCAAGAGCCTTTACCACTTAACCATCTGGCCAGCCTATTCTTGTCGAATTTTAAGAGGGCTTTTTAAAAATGTTTCAAAAATTAGATTTACTTCAGTGTGTGTGTGTGTGTGTGTGTGTGTAAGGAGGACAACTTGCTAGAGTCAGTTCTCCCCACCATATGGGACCTAAGGATTGACCTGAGGCCCTCAGATTTGGTAGCAAGCACCTTTACCTGCTGAGCTATCTTACCAGCCCTAAGAGTTCTTTATTATTTTGGATACAAATCCTTTAAAAAGTATGTGCTGGTACATTTTTGTCCTACCTTGGGGGTGTGTGTGTGTGTGTATGTGTGTATTATTAATATAGTGTCTTTTGAAGTGGGACATTAAAAACAAAAACATCAGCCGGGCAGTGGTGGCATACACCCTTAATCCCAGAGGCAGGCAAATCTCTGTGGGTTCAAGGCCAGTCTGGTTTACAAAGTGAGTTCCAGGACGGCCAAGGCTACACAGAGAGACCCTGTCTTGAAAAAACAACAACAGCAAAAAAATATCTGTGTGTCTGAATTTCCTTTTTGAGTAAGAATACCAGTCATGGGATTTAAGGCCTCATACTAACTTAGGGACCTCTTTAAGAACCTGCCTTTTTTTGGTTACAGGTTCAACATGTGAATTTGGGGACAGGGGCACAGTTCAGCCCCCAGTGGTTCCTATGGTGTATTACTGTATGACCATCAATTAAAACTGCACATTTTGCGCAGATTTCACCAGTATGACTCAGTACTGCCCTGTGTGTTGCCTCAGATTCTGCAGAGTACATGACAGTTGTCTGTGTCCTCTTTTGTGTGGTTTTCTCCATCTTTGTTTCTTACAACTTGACAAGTAGGTAGATAGGTATTTGGAAGTTGGTTGGTTTGAGAGAGGGTCTCACTATGTAGCGAACTCGCTCTGTAGACCAGGCTGGTCTTAAAACTCAGAGATCCAACTGCCTCTGCCTCCCAAGGGCAGCCTTCACAGTTCTGAAGAGTACCTTTCAGATACTGAATGTTCCTCAATTTGGGTTTATCTGATAGTTTTCTAGGGTGAATAGTAATACTACAGATGTGAAGTACCACCATATAAGCAGTGTACATTCTTAATATGGTTTATCACCAGTCATAAATTACTTTAATCTGCCCAGGATTGCTGAGTTTCTCCATTGTAACTTGAACTTTACTCCTTCGTGCTGTGACCCTTCAGAGTGTGCCGCTCCACAGCTACACTGCTGGTCTCCTGTGACCTTGGACAACTTGCAGTGTAACTTTCTCGGTAGAATATATGAGATTTTCTTTATTAGTAAGGTTATTTGCAAGGGCACGGTTTTGTTTATTCTTTCCGCCATATTTAACTTTGTTTTGCTTGCTTGTATTTCCAGTGACTTGAAGTCATTATCTATGGAAGAATTTGTTTTAATAGGCACTCGTCCATTAATAGAACCTAGAAACACCAAAAGAGCCACTCTAAAGATATTAATGAGACTTTACATTGAATTTAAGGTGTCCATTAACTTTAAGTCATGCAGTAACAGTTTGTTATAGGCTGGATGCTCCAAGTCTGCAAACCTTTAAATATTAAAAACATAGATACATTTATAACTCTGTGTGTGTGTGTGTGTGTGTGTGTGTGTGTGTGTGTGTGTGTGTGTGTGTGTGTACACTCACATGTGCACATGAGAGGTCAGATAAGTCTGTGGAGTCTGTTCTCTCCGTACATCTGTAGTTGGGTTCCAGGAATCAAGCTCAGGTTATCAAGCCTGCAGAGCAGGTACCTTCATCTTTCTGAGCCATCTTGTCAGCTCAGAGTCTGAAACTTTGTGAGTGGCATGTTGATGATGCCCAAGAAATTTAGGATTAGGGGATATGTTTTGGGGAGTTTTATCTGGTACCAGCGATTAAACCTGGATTTTGTGCATGTATTCCACCAGTGAGATATATATCCCTCGCCACGAGCTCAGACTCAGTTATGTAGCCACAATAAATCTGAGAATCTAAACCTGAAATTTTTATTTGAGTTGGAATTTAGCTCTAGTACATAAGCTAATCTCAAATTCTTGTTCAAGTGACTCTTCTACCTTGACCATCACAGTAACTCAGACCATATGTATGCACCACTGTGCTGGGCTTAACGTGTTCATGAAATCTGTGGCGTTTATGATGATTACCTCTAGAAATCAGCAAATAAAGCTTTTTTTCAATTGTGAGATTAGATGGGTTAGGTGGAAAGTATAAATTCAGAAATGGGAAAAGACAAGCTGATTTTCAAATGATCTCTTTAAATTAAGCATCAGTAAAGGTGTTTTCAAACTCTAATGTTTATTATTCTAAAGGGTATTTATTATTATTATTATTATTATTGTTATTGTTATTATTATTATTATTGGGTTTTCTCCTAACTCTAGAAGAACTAATTCCCTATTCAGCTCACAGGAGCTTGCTGGTTGGTGTTCGGAAGAATCCTTACTGCCCAACTAATAGTCCTTACAGGCCACAGCAGCGACCTGCTGGCTTCACAGAGGAGCAGGCCACTGCCTGTAGGAGGGTCTGCCTTTTTTCTTTAGATGCTGTGTCATTGGTTGCATTGCCCTCTGTTGTGTTCGGGTGGAGCCCTGGTGCCCAGTGCCTTTAGTCTACCTGGAAAAGGTAACACCAACAAAATCTCTTTTAGTAGCCTTGCCTAGGAATATGCCATGGCCTTGGAGTTGGAAAGTATTTAGTTCCAGAGTTGCATTTATTTGTTTTAGTTTAATACTTTCGACTTTACAGATGAAGAAATTTGAAGCCCGGATCAGGTAAGTGACCCAGATGGATACATTAGCATACTTAGAAACCGAGAAACCAGACCACGCTGTGGGTTCCCTTCTCCAGCGTGAACTGAGAATCAAAGAAACTCACCGGGTTTGTACAGTGTTGATTGACACAGCACATGACCCTGCAGGTCACACAGAGACACGTTTTAAGGGTATAGGTTATAGCCACCTTCAGTCTGTCCTCTCCCTGTGCCTCTTTTTTTTTTTTTTTTTCTTTTTAAAGAGCTCATCAATTTAGGAACACTCAGGTCACTTTCCTCCATGTCTCAGGGGGACTGGGTTACTCCCAGCTGCCAGGCTTCTACATGGAAGGTGCCAGTGTTCTCCATAAATCTGCCACCATGCGGCCGTCAGTCTACCCTTCCTAGAGACAGAGTGTCTCCTGGGTGTAAGAGTCCTTGTGGCAGCCAGTAACTACACAGGATATGAGGCAGCATGGAGATTAGGTTTGCAAAGAGAATGTGGATATATTTACTCTGTCACATTGGCACACTGGTATGAGTCTTTTCCAGAGACATTAACGTTTGAGCATTATCTTTGATGGGTTCTTTGTAACTGAGTATCTGCAAGGTAATTATCAAGCACATGTCAAAAAGCAGTGATACCAGGACCTCTGCCTGAAATTATTCAGCCATTAAAAATGATGGCTCAGCTGTTAAGAGCGCTTGCTGATTGGGTTCCCAGAGTCCACATCAGGTGACTCACAACTGCCTATAACTCGGTTCCAAGGTATCAGGCACCTCGTGGTGCACGTACAGACAAGCCAGTGCAGACATACCAAATAATAATGATGGTGATAATATACTAGAGCAAAACCCAGCCCCAAAGACTGAAAACTCAGATGGGAAGAAAGCATACCACTATGAGAGACTGAGCCTGAAGGACATGGGTTTAGAGCCAAATTATTTGGGACTAGTGTTACGGAGCCTGTGAATGTCTAATGCAAAGGTCAGTGCCACTTCTAAGGCAGAGACTTGCCGGGAACAGTTTCCAGACAGCGTATCGGGCCACCTCACAGAGACCATGCTTTCTTCAGCTTTGTGCATGGTGCTCTTTTTTTTTTTTCTCTCTCGAAGCTCTCTAAATCCCAAATTATTTTGCCCATAACCACTAGAGGGGGGCACTTACTACATGCCAACCCCTCCTGTTTTGGGTCTAATTTTTTTCAAACTGGCTCCTTGCTAGAGTTGCAAAAGTTGTGAGATCAAGGTGTGGTATAACTGAGACCTCGGGGGCAGAGCTTTATGAGCTAAGTGTTAACTGCTTACAGCTCACTCATAAATTGGACGCTTTTGGGCAAAGGTGTCTGGTGCTCACAACAGATTGTGTCACTGTTTGGAAAACAGTTCAGCAGCTTGGGTGCTGTGAAGATGACAATCCTTCCTTGCAGCAGCCCTGCTTGTTCCCTGTAGAGCAGGAGTTTGCTCATTGGTTCCTTCAGCCTGTGCCTTCTGAGTCCTCATTTAAGGTCACATGTCTCCCGGTTCTCATTTCTGTCTAGCCTGGCATTCCTAAATCAGCAGTGTTCCCCTTTGTTACATTTCAATTTATAATTGCTAAGTTCTCTCCCTCAGAGCATGATGGGAATACTTGCTTGTTTTCTTCTTAGAGAACCTGCAGTTTTGGGAAAGGCATGCTTAACTTCAGGTTGTCCCCAAACCTAGATTGGGTACTGCTTTAGAGTCTAGGGCTCCGGTGGGTGTGATGATGTGAACCTTTAATCCCAGTGCTGAGGAGGCAGAGGTAGGTGGACCTATCTCTCTGAGTTGGAGGCCACCCAAGACCACATAGTAAAACGCTGTCTTAAAAAAAAGAAAAAAGAAAAACCTAAATAAGTAAATAAAGGGCTTGGGGCTGGAGATATGGCTCGGTGGGTAAGAGCACTTTTGGGGGGTTTGTTTGTTTTTGAGATGGGTCTCACAATGTATC